CAAGATATTAGATATTTGTAAGACCAGTGGCACTAGTGAAGAGGAAAAAATGAGTTCATAGAACACGGTCGGAACAAGCATGCAAAGCATTCTGTTTCACAACCAAATAACTGGTAGGAGATATAGGATAAATTGTTTCCTCGATGTGGAATGGCAAACATGATGATCCAATGATCGTCATCACATAAGAATTGGAAGCATTTTCAGGTGCTGAACCTGGTCCAAAGTGGGGTGCCCCAGTATCCCCATCGCCTATACTACAACCTAATTGTGATATTTGTGTTGCAGTGGTCTCCGTGCAGGGAGAAGCGTGTAGCAGTGGCAGTGGCTGCACCATCACTCAGTGTAACTCTGGTGGAACTATCACATGTGTGGCGGGAACCTGCCTTGTGCACCAGTGTGTGTTCTCCGGATCCTAACCTAGGCAGACGGGAAATGGATTGCCTCATATCTCTTGGAATAGTGATCATATTTTGAAACTTCAAGGGTCAGTATGTAGATAATAAAAAATGTTGAAAATTATTTTGATATGTCTTGAAAAGGTATGTTTGAAAAATCGAGTGGCACTTTAGATATAAGCAGGGTTACTGACAATTATTGATTTACTAAATGCAGTGTTTATAATATTCATCATAGAGAGTTAAACATTTATCAAAACTTAAAATGAGTATGTGTGTATAAGTACAAGAGTATTGTATGTATTATTGTGTGCCTTCTCCACGATTGTTGACATAACAGTGTCCATCTCTATCTCTCTTTCATAACAATGCCATCAACAGCTAGATGCAGAAGCAAGATTGATTGCCATAACGATTACAACAATGGCCAGATAGCCTGCACGTGCCAGCCTCTCTCCGACCTCCACTGTATTGACGACCAGTGTCACTGTGGCTACCCATCGTAATTATAAAATCCCCACTGTATTAACGGTCACTGTCACTGTGGCTCCCCAACGTAAGTATACAACCAACACTGTATCAACGGTCAGTATCTCTTTGGCTACCCAACGTAATTATACAACCTCAACTGTATTGACGGCCAGTGTTACTGTGGCTACCTATCGTAAGCATACAACCTATACTGTATTGACGGTCAGTGTCACTGTGGCCACCCATCGTAATTATACAACCTACACTGTATCAACGGTCAGTGTCACTGTGGCTACCCATCGTAATTATACAACCTACACTGTATTAACGGCCAGTGTCACTTTGGCTACCCAACGTAAGTATACAACCATCACTGTATTAACGGTCAGTGTCACTGTGGCTACCCAACGTAAGTATACAACCATCACAGTATTAACGGTCAGTGTCACTGTTGCTGCCCATCGTAAGTATACAACCTACACTGTATTAACGGTCAGTGTCACTGTGGCTACCCAACGTACTGTATTGACCTCCACATTGTAAACATGCTTGTTTCCCAATTATCGGTAATGATCATTTTGTGCAGCAGTAATTTCCCTTAAGTAAGATATTTTTTGTGATTCATCTTAAGCGTGAGGAAGATGTGTATCCACAATTTCAAAATTCGGAATTAAATTACTAGCAAAAGTATTAGTTCATTATATTGTTTTCAAACTTTATCAGGCAGGGGAAGCTGATATTGAGTTGCCAGCACCAGCAACAGGAAGAGAGTCCCTTGTACAAGGACGTGGGTGTGTAGTTAGTTCTTATCAGTTCACATCTTGTCCACAATTCATGTTTGATTGAGTTGTGCTTCTGTTCAAACATTGGTACCCAGTCGGCTACAAAGGTGATCTCTAGTTTTCCTACATTATAGTGAGTGGGTGAGTGAGTTTAGTTTAACGCCGCTTGGAACATTATTCCACTTTAGCATGGCGTGTAAGCTCAATGTTGGAGGAAAGCCTGAAGTGATGCAGGTCTGAGACCTTTACCACTTTGGTGAAATCCACGAGCACAGGTATGGGGCTGAGGAACCTAGAAACATGATCAGGGCAACCCGGGATGCTTGCATTATAGAACATTTGTCGAAACAACAACTATGGTTATTCAAGAATAATTCTCAATTCCCAACAGAATTAGTTTAGGATTATATACCATGAACGTTCCATGGATCTTTAACAAGATCAAGAACGTTTTGACAATAAAATTCATCTATAGACCTGATGATTAACACGATAATGGAGGAAAACAAGCTTCCTAGTTTCATAGTGACAACTGACTTTATAAAGTGTGGGGCTAGTGGTGATATAGGTTTGACCATGGTATATGGCATTGACTTTATAAAGTGTTGGGCTAGTGGTGATATAGGATTTACCATGGTGAATGGCACTGACCCTATAAAGTGTGGGGCTAGTGTTGTGGCATTGACCTTATAAAGTGTGGGGCTAGTGGTGATATAGGTTTAACCATGGTGTATGGCATTGAACTTATAAAGTGTGGGGCTAGTGTTGTGGCATTGACTTTATAAAGTGTTGGGCTAGTGGTGATATAGGTTTAACAATGGTGTATGGCATTGACCTTATAAAGTGTTGGGCTAGTGGTGATATAGGTTTAACCATGGTGTATGGCATTGACTTTATAAAGTGTGGGGCTAGTGGTGATATAGGTTTAACTATGGTGTATGGCATTGACCTTATAAAGTGTGGGGCTAGTGGTGATATAGGTTTAACGATGGTGTATGGCATTGACTTTATAAAGTGTGGGGCTAGTGGTGATATAGGATTTACCATGGTGTATGGCACTGACCCTATAAAGTGTGGGGCTAGTGTTGTGGCATTGACCTTATAAAGTGTGGGGCTAGTGGTGATATAGGTTTAACGATGGTGTATGGCATTGACTTTATAAAGTGTGGGGCTAGTGGTGATATAGGTTTAACTATGGTGTATGGCATTGACCTTATAAAGTGTGGGGCTAGTGGTGATATAGATTTAACTATGGTGTATGGCATTGACCTTATAAAGTGTGGGGCTGGTGGTGATATAGGTTTAACTATGGTGTATGGCATTGACCTTATAAAGTGTGGGGCTAGTGGTGATATAGATTTAACTATGGTGTATGGCATTGACCTTATAAAGTGTGGGGCTGGTGGTGATATAGGTTTAACTATGGTGTATGGCACTGACCCTATAAAGTGTGGGGCTAGTGTTGTGGCATTGACCTTATAAAGTGTGGGGCTGGTGGTGATATAGGTTTAACGATGGTGTATGGCATTGACTTTATAAAGTGTGGGGCTAGTGGTGATATAGGTTTAACTATGGTGTATGGCATTGACCTTATAAAGTGTGGGGCTAGTGGTGATATAGATTTAACTATGGTGTATGGCATTGACCTTATAAAGTGTGGGGCTGGTGGTGATATAGGTTTAACTATGGTGTATGGCATTGACCTTATAAAGTGTGGGGCTAGTGGTGATATAGATTTAACTATGGTGTATGGCATTGACCTTATAAAGTGTGGGGCTGGTGGTGATATAGGTTTAACTATGGTGTATGGCATTGACCTTATAAAGTGTTGGGCTAGTGGTGATATAGATTTAACTATGGTGTAGGGCATTGACCTTATAAAGTGTGGGGCTAGTGGTGATATAGATTTAACTATGGTGTATGGCATTGACCTTATAAAGTGTTGGGCTAGTGGTGATATAGGATTTACCATGGTGTATGGCATTGAACTTATAAAGTGTGGGGCTAGTGTTGTGGCATTGACTTTATAAAGTGTTGGGCTAGTGGTGATATAGGTTTAACCATGGTGTATGGCATTGACTTTATAAAGTGTGGGGCTAGTGGTGATATAGGTTTAACCATGGTGTATGGCATTGAACTTATAAAGTGTGGGGCTAGTGTTGTGGCATTGACTTTATAAAGTGTTGGGCTAGTGGTGATATAGGTTTAACCATGGTGTATGGCATTGACTTTATAAAGTGTGGGGCTAGTGGTGATATAGGTTTAACCATGGTGTATGGCATTGACTTTATAAAGTGTGGGGCTAGTGGTGATATAGGTTTAACCATGGTGTATGGCATTGACTTTATAAAGTGTGGGGCTAATGGTGATATAGCTTTAACCATGGTGTATGGCATTGACTTTATAAAGTGTGGGGCTAGTGGTGATATAGGTTTAACCATGGTGTATGGCATTGACTTTATAAAGTGTGGGGCTAGTGGTGATATAGGTTTAACCATGGTGTATGGCATTGACTCTATAAGCGTAGGAGTAGGGACGATTTCGATTCGACCGTGGTGTATGACATTGAACTTATATGACGCGAGGAGTCTAAGGCACTAAAGACCGTATGCATGTAAGGACTTGTCACGGCATTTCGGTCGCTGTGTTTCACATACATGGTGCAGCTATTGCATCAGTACAATGCGAGCCCACGTGTCAGTCCCCAGCACCCAATGCATGATAGAATGAAGATAGGAAGTCACAGTGTCAGCATGGGACACTGCTAGTTCCACTGATTTGCCTGCCCCAGGGTGGGTTACGCTGGGGTAGAATATGTCTTCAGCAACCCATGCTTGCCGTAAAACGGGATCGGGTGGTCAGGCTCGCTGACTGGGTTGATGCACGTCATCGTATCCCAATTGGGTAGATCGATGCTTATGATGTCAATCACGGATTTTCCTGGTCCAGACTCGATTATTTACAGACCGCCGTCATATAGCTGGAGCGTTGCTGAGTGCGGCGTTAAGCAACAAAGAAACAAACAAACAGGCGGGGTAATTTAAATGCCGGTAAGATGTCACTGGAACATTGCCGACTACAAGATGTCGTTGGGACACTGCTGACGGTGTCAAAACTTCTTTTAATCAATGACCCTTCTGTCTAAACCTTCTGTACGACATTGGGAACAATGACATCGTGTAACCAGCTGTACTCTACACATGTGTGACAACAGTCACTGATGTGGCCACTGATCATGCTTTGAACCTGAGAAGTAGGTCGGAATGCGCTATCGGGAACTTCAGGAGTCTTCATTCCTGGTGGTGTTTTCACATACAGTGACCGATCCTTGAATAAAACCAGCACGATTCACCCAGGCCGCGCCCGTCCGTCCTACAGCCTGAAACCAGCACAACAACCCCTCCCCTCCCCCACCTGATAACGTCTTTATATAGCCAAGACACACCAGGATACCTGCAAATCAAACATGAAGGCATTTCTCGCACTCGGAGTTGTGGCATTCGTAGGTAATGTGCTTCTACATTTCATTATATATAACATCGACAACAATGTAAAGGTGAGGTGATGTTCGGACATGTAATAGACAGGGTATATGTGTGCCAGATAGAGGCAGCAGTGTGCCAGATAGAGGCAGCAGTATGCCAGATAGAGGCAGCAGTCTGCCAGATAGAAGCAGCAGTGTGCCAGATAGAGGCAGCAGTGTGCCAGATAGAGGCAGCAGTGTGCCAGATAGAAGCAGCAGTGTGCCAGATAGAGGCAGCAGTGTGCCAGATAGAGGCAGCAGTGTGCCAGATAGAGGCAGCAGTGTGCCAGATAGAGGCAGCAGTGTGCCAGATAGAAGGAAGGCTCCATGTCCTCTGAAGAGAAGAAAAATTCAACATTCATGATGATATATCTTCAGTTTATGCTGCGTCCACATTACAAGCATATACTGGTCAACGGTAGCCCTTCCGTAGTTCCGTAGATGGTCATAATCTAAACAAAGTGACGTCCTTTAGTTAAATTCGAAGGTGAGACATTTCACACCTTTTTCTTTCTTAAAATTGACAAGAGGTAACAGGCTACTTGAAACTCGGAATAGCATATTATCTGCATCCTTTTAGCGAACTGTTTCAATCAGTTAGCAATTCCTTCTAATTATTTCTCGTTGGTTCTTACAAATTTTACTCTGCAAAACCTAATTGTGATATTTGTGTTGTAGTGGTCTCCGTGCAGGGAGAGGTGTGTAACAGTAACAGTGACTGCACCATCACCCAGTGTAACTCTGGTGGAACTATCACATGTGTAGCGGGAACCTGCACGTGCACCAGTGTGTGTTCTCCGGATCCTGACCTAGGTAGGCCGGGAGTGGGTTGCCTCATAACTCCTGGAATAGTGATCATACTTTGGAATTTACAGTGCCAGTATGTAGATATAAAACATGTTTGAAGAAATTTTGACACGTCTCGTAAAGGTATGTTTGAGGCATTGAGTGGCTATGGCGATATTATAATTAGCAGAGTTACTGACAATTATTGATTTATTAAATGCAGAGTTGAACATTTATTCAACGTTAAAATAAGTATATGTATATAAATACAAGAGTATTATATGTATTAGTGTGTGCCTTATCCAAGATTGTGTGTATATATATATATATGTCCATCTCTCTTACATTATAATATCTGACACCACACCAACAGCCAGATGCAGAAACCAGAATGACTGCCGTAACGCTTACAACAATGGTCAGATAGCCTGCACGTGCCAGCCTCTCTCCGACCTCCACTGTATTGACGGCCAGTGTCACTGTGGCTACCCTACGTAAGTATACAACCTACACAGTATTGACGGAGAATATCACTGTGGCTACCCATTTTTAGTATATACGCCACTTTATAGCTAAAATGGATAGAAGTATCATTAAACCGCTCGCATGTTATCAGAAATGAGCTGGCCATTGTAACTTAATAATAATCCTCATATTGCTTGACGACGGGCCATTATCACCCCCGTTGTTAGGTGACATCATAGGGTAGGGATAGGTGACGTCACGTTAATAGTGTTTGTTCTTCTGGTTTGTTCTATGACGTTTCCATATTTGTAAAAGTGGGTCAGTGAAATTCGTATTGATTGCAGTAAATGTTTCAAATCCGATATTGTTGTTTCGTTTTATTTGAAAACATATTCTATCCATTTTAGCTATAATAACGGTAACGCTCTTTTTCTGGGCATTATCATTTGCAGAAGCCCGGGGTCTTCCATTAACTAGGGCTTCTGCAAATGATAATTCCCTGAAAAAGAGCGTTACCCTTATAAAATAGCTAAAATGGATACAATTATCATTAAACCGCCCGCATGTTAACGGAAATAAGCGGGCCACTGTAACTTGATAATGCCCTCATATTGATTGACGACGGGCCATTATCACGCCCGTTGTTAGGTGACGTCATAGGATAGGGATAGGTATCGTCACGTTCAATAGTGACGTTATCTGGTTTGTTCTGTGACGTTTCCGGTAGTTAATTGAAGACCTCGGGCTTCTGCAAATGATAATGCCCTGAAAAATAGCGTTACCCTTATATTAGTTAACATTACCACAAAGCACCATCCTCCTGTGCTGAGGGCATCACTGTAGCTAACATCGCCAACAATACGCCATCCTCCTGTGTTGAGGGCATCACTGTATCTAACACCGCCATCAATACATCATCCTCCTGTGTTGAGGGCATCACTGTATCTAACATCGCCACCAATACGCCATCCTCACGTGTTGAGGGCATCACTGTATCAAACATCGCCACCAATACGCCATCCTCCTATGTTGAGGGCATCACTGTATCTAACATCGCCACCAATACGCCATCCTCCTGTGTTGAGGGCATCACTGTATCTAACATCGCCACCAATACGCCATCCTCCTATGTTGAGGGCATCACTGTATCTAACATCGCCACCAATACGCCATCCTCCTGTGTTGAGGGCTTCACTGTATCTAACATCGCCACCAATACGCCAACCTCCTGTGTTGAGGGCATCACTGTAGCTAACATCGCCAACAATACGCCAACCTCCTGTGTTGAGGGCATCACTGTATCTAACATCGCCAACAATACGCCATCCTCCTGTGTTGAGGGCATCACTGTAGCTAACATCGCCACCAATACGCCATCCTCCTGTGTTGGGGGCATCACTGTATCTAACATCGCCATCAATACGCCATCCTCCTGTGTTAAGGGCATCACTGTATCTAACATCGCCACCAATACGCCATCCACCTGTGTTGAGGGCCACACTGTATCTAACATCGCCAACAATACACCACCCACCTGTGTTGAGGGCATCACTGTAGCTAACATCTCCACCAATACACCATCCTCCTGTGTTGAGGGCCACACTGTATCTAACATCGCCACCAATACGCCATCCTCACGTGTTGAGGGCATCACTGTATCAAACATCGCCACCAATACGCCATCCTCCTATGTTGAGGGCATCACTGTATCTAACATCGCCACCAATACGCCATCCTCCTGTGTTGAGGGCATCACTGTATCTAACATCGCCACCAATACGCCATCCTCCTATGTTGAGGGCATCACTGTATCTAACATCGCCACCAATACGCCATCCTCCTGTGTTGAGGGCTTCACTGTATCTAACATCGCCACCAATACGCCAACCTCCTGTGTTGAGGGCATCACTGTAGCTAACATCGCCAACAATACGCCAACCTCCTGTGTTGAGGGCATCACTGTATCTAACATCGCCAACAATACGCCATCCTCCTGTGTTGAGGGCATCACTGTAGCTAACATCGCCACCAATACGCCATCCTCCTGTGTTGGGGGCATCACTGTATCTAACATCGCCATCAATACGCCATCCTCCTGTGTTAAGGGCATCACTGTATCTAACATCGCCACCAATACGCCATCCACCTGTGTTGAGGGCCACACTGTATCTAACATCGCCAACAATACACCACCCACCTGTGTTGAGGGCATCACTGTAGCTAACATCTCCACCAATACACCATCCTCCTGTGTTGAGGGCCAAACCATAGCTAACTAAAAATTAACGCAAAGCTAGATTTGTGTTAGGTAGGAAAAAACATCTATACGGGGAATCGTACAAGGTAAAGAGCCAAAATGTTGTGGAGAGAACGCTTGGTGATTGTAGTCATCTCTCCCGACTCTGGCCCATCACGTGTTGACCCATGCTGTTGAAATCGATCCCCTAGCCTTGTGATGGTGCTTGGCGCTACATTGAAAACCCTGGCTACAGCTGATCGGGACTCCTGCCTGCATGCGGCCCATGACGTTGTATCGTTGCACTTCTGTTATTCTTGGCATGCTGTTGAACTGTCACTGTTCGATTGACGTAGATGCCAGGAATTCAAAAACCCTGCATTATAATAGCGTTCATAATGATGCTGCACGTGCAGTACGGACAAGCTCCATCTCCCTTTTGTTAATGCAGTGGCTGCGCTTTTCCGAATCGTACGTGCTTCCAGACTAGTGGTTGTGATCATTGTAATCCTGGACATATGTCACTGACACATTAAACCTCTTCATTTTGCCCCTCTTGGTCAGCTAATTTTGCTTTTACGGCCAAAAATATCCGTATTGCGTTTCTTTTTCTGGAAGAGTATAATTTCATTTTCTGGAGACAACTATATACAAAGTATATAATAAATAGGATATTCCATGTGTCTCGTGAAATATCATGTTTCACTCATCTCGTGACGGGGGAAGAGGAGATGCTATGCCACTCGTTTGCTTCCGTCACTCGATGAGACAAAAATGATATTTCACTCTCCACATGAAATATCCTCTATGTATCTCTGCAAGAAATAACAATTGAGTCATGTGAACTTCCGAGGAAGTAGCATTAATATATAATGAAAAGTCAAAATGTGATTTTGCACCCATAAGGTCTCTCTCTCGTCTCATAGTTGGTCACAATTTATGTTTCAGGGGCAACTGAGGGCACAGGAAAACGAGCTGATGCATGTGGAAATAAAACGTCTCCTACTACCTCCAGTATTTTGTTGTCCTATTTGCTTATATTGTCAACATCGTGTGTGTTCATTGAAGTCAGGGAAGTCGACATCAGTTAGGTTCCCTGAAAGCTGCATCACATGCTTTTATTCGGTGAAATATAAACTCAAAATCATTTGCGTTAATTTTACAATCTCAGAAAAGAAGCAAGTTCAAGTTTTCAACTTTGTACAACACTATCACACGTCAAACATAAGGGAACACTTCATCGCTTGCCCCCACGGGGCATTTGTTACAAAACGTGATGACCACAGATACAGTTACATCACTATAATCAGAGGTTCGGGACAATTTGTCAAAATTCAAAGAAAATGTTATCTCATTGAAAACATATATATGACATTTCGGCTTAAGGCATTTGGGCAAGTGGTAGGCATCCTCACTGGCCAATTGTTCCCCTTTCATTGAGATCTACTTTATACATATTAATTAGAAATTTCTGCTCAGATTGGTAACATCAATACAAATGGAATTTGGCTAATATGTTTCACTTGTGCTTCAGGCATATGGATGATACCCAAATACCCAATTCCCACCCACTGTGTTACCCACCTCATCTAGAAATAACAGGGGTCAGTGAAACCGCCTCATCTGTTTCATATTAATATCTGTGCATACAAATTCAGACTTCGATTGAGAAATATAACACAATCACTGATGAAGCAATTGAAAATATATACTCAGCAACAAAAGTTCCTGTAACACCCCTTTTAAATCAGTTGCATCCAAGAAAAACTTTTCTGGTGTTCAAATCGGATACGAAAATATCAAAACATGTATCACAAACGCAACCTCAGCAGAAAAGCAGGATCTGGTGGCAAAACATCAAATTTCAATCATCTTTTGAAGTTTGGAGATGCAACGCCTATCTGAGAATGACGGATTGAGAGCCATTGATAAGCTCCAGCCAAGAACGTCGCAGCGGGAAGTTGCTAGGCGATTGAACGTGCACAGAAATACCATTTGGGCGTTATGGCAGCGGTGGCAGCAACCAAACACTGTCAGAGACCGACCAAGGAACGGCAGGATTCGAAACACCCATCTGCGAAATCGGTTCCCGCCTACAACAATCACTGCGAGAACCATCCCTGGCCTTTGTCGAATATCGGGACAGACTGTACGTCACGGTCTTAGGCGCTACGGGATTGTTGCGAGGAGACCAGCCAGATGCTCAATTATGGCCAACAATCACAGGCGATTGCGTCTGCAGTGGTGTAGACAGCGGTGTAGACAGTGGTGTAGACAGCGGTGTAGACAGTGGTGTGGACAGTGGTGTAGACAGCGGTGTAGACAGTGGTGTAGACAGCGGTGTCGACAGCGAGTGCAATTCAGAGGAGAGAGGTACTGTTCACCGACGAGTCTAGTTGTCACCTCTCACACGGCGATGGCCGAATGCGAGTATACCGACGTCGCGTGAACGTTACGCTCAGAACTGCGTTGTGGGGGGAAGACCGTTTCGTCGGAGGCAATGTTATGGTGTGGGTAGGAATCACCTCGAGATATGGGGTGCCATCCCACAGTACTGTGTTAGACGTTTAATCCGTTCAATAAAGAGATGCATAGTATGCATCCAAGCGAAAGGGGGACACACATGCTACTGGCGTGTGACTTGACAATTGTGTTCTTGTATCGTTCTCTTGTCATAACGTCATTTCTGCGCGAGACATGTGTAAACTTGTCTTACTGGTCCATTGTCTGTTTGAAAATATGGGTTCTTTCAGATGTGTGCGTCTACTTTAATCAGGTTCTTGTTTTATGTCGTGTCACAGGAACTTTTGTTGCTGAGTATAATAACCCTTTTCAAGAAATGTTTATTATTTTCGAAAAGTATTTATAAACAATCCCATAAATGTGATTGTAGTCAGCCCACACTCTGACAATGAGCTGGAAGATATGAAACATAAAAGCCACGCTGCTCTAGGGGTACATAGGGACTATGGTGCAGGTTTTGATACCTTTACAAGCTTACATTCTTCTAGTTTGAGTCTATTTGCACTGAAGAAGAATCAATAGTCTAATTATGAGAAACACAGCCGTCAAAGGTAGAAAAGACGATCAAACATTTTGAAAGGGTGATATGTATACCCTCCTATTAGTGCCAATGACTGGGTCAGTTCTATCATCACTACTGACTTGCGAAACACCTAACACTTTACACCCCTGAGACACCAGCAGTTGTCTGGGTCCGGCTGATTTCACACAACAGGAATGAACTCTAACATTGATATACTACATGTATTCTCATACGCCGAACACCCTTTTTAACAAGTACCTGTCTGAAACAGCTGTGGTTGCCCAATCGTCGTTTCAGCACCAGAACCTCCAGGAACTGGCTGAAAGCAGCAGGACTGAGGACTAGACGAGTCATAAAGTGTCCCTTGTTGAGAGATCACCACAAAGCTGCTCGTTTAGCATGGTGTATTGCGCGATAGAACTGGAAACTGAGAATTTGGAGACGGATCCATTGGTCAGACGAAAGTCGCTTTATGCTCCACGTCACTGATGGAAGAACGAGAGTTTGGAGGCACCAGAACACGGCCTACACTCCCAGAAGCATTAAACCGAATGTTGCATACGGCGGGGGCCCTGTAATGGTTTGTGGTTTATCTCTCATGATTGTAGGTTGGGTTTGGTCACCATAAGGGGCAACTTAACAGGGGCTCAGTACATACGGGACGTTTTGAGGCCAGTCGTCGTTCCTCATTTTGAAAACCACCCTCTTGCTTCTCGACCTCAGTACATGGATAACAATGCCAGGCCTCATCGATCGTATGCAGTCGTGGATTACATGAGGGCCAATGCAATAACGACTCTACCCTGGGCAGCAATGAGCCCAGATATAAACCCCCTTGAACATGTTTGGGATATTCTGGGGTGGCGCATACAGGCACGAGATCCTCCTGTATAAGATTTACGCCAATTGGAAGCACCATTGCATCAGGAGTGGTTGTTGTTGACCCATCAACAGATCCAACGTCTGACTGGAGGCATGAAGTCACCGTGATATATAGCTGGAACACAGGTGACCCTGTCTCATTGGCGTACCAGTCGCCGTGATATATAGCTGGAACACAGGTGACCCTGTCTCAGTGGCGTACCAGTCGCCGTGATATATAGCTGGAACACAGGTGACCCTGTCTCAGTGGCGTACCAGTCACGTGATATATAGCTGGAACACAGGTGACCCTGTCTCAGTGGTGTACCAGTCGCCGTGATATATAGCTGGAACACAGGTGACCCTGTCTCAGTGGTGTACCAGTCACCGTGATATATAGCTGGAACACAGGTGACCCTGTCTCAGTGGCGTACCAGTCACTGTGATGGTGACCAGTCACCAATGGTGTGCCATGGTACACACACAGCTTGGACAGCTTGCCCCAAAATATAAATCACTGGATTGTCTGATCCAGACTTATTTACAAGCCAGCATTACATTGCTAGAACATTGCTGACTATCGTGTTAAACAACAAACAAAAACAACAAATCATGCAGTCAACTGCTGACTAGTCCGCCGGGGTGCAGCTGGAACTCTGGTGACTAACAGGGAAACTACAGCAACTTACTCACTCACTCCATCAGCCTGCTACAAGGAGATGCACCTATCCTGCCTCATCTTTCTACAGGAAATCATCAGGGACAAACATGGCCAAGATTGAGTATTATGCACACAGAGTTTATTTATGAAGAAATATTAGGATACAAAACTGACAAATAAAAGCATTGGACACAAATAACAAGAACATGGAGCTAAAAACACTCGGCTGATTTTCTCACATTAAGAAGTACGTGATGGATGACAGCAAACATTAGCATACAGTGGGCTAGCAGTACCTGGATGTGTATGGGTGTAGCTAGCACTGGGCTATCAATATCTGTGTGTGTATGGGTGTAGCTTCAGACCAGCAATATATTCAGCAAGTACATAGTTCAACACTGGAACACGTGAACAGTGAATACCATTTGTAAGGTACCACATCCCTCCTGGAATCAGACTTTATGTGTGGTCCATCACACTTTATGTAGCTAGCATTGACAGGTGAACACACCACTACCTATGAAACATTCCTAGAGTGGAAACTCTTACATCCTTGTGTCAGGGTTTAGATCTTTGGGCTAAGTGTACTTCTTCACTCTGTATTGCTTGAGAACTTGTGGTGTCTTAAGTGTATCTACAGTTCACATCTTGGTATTTTGGCACTTGGTATGTTTATACATTTGGATCTCAGCTATTCTATCTTATCACTTTTGAAACAGATCAGTGATAACATGACATAAAGCCTCAATGAAAATGTAAATAAGAAAACAGAGAAAGTAATCTATTATAGGTTGCAAGAAGTCAGCTAAATGCTGCTAATCTTTTGTCAAGATCACACAAGAATTGTCCTTCAGGACAGATCAGATCTTTACTGAGCAAACTTGATTGGCATTGGCATAAATTAATAGTGAGTTCATAATCACATGGCCTCCAATACAGCACAGGTTTCTGATCATGTCAACCACTCACTATAGTCACAATCAGGAACAACATAGTCGCCATCAGGAACAACATAGTCACCATCAGGAACAACATAGTCGCCATCAGAAGCAACATAGTCACCATCAGTAGCAACATAGTCACCATCAGGAACAACATAGTCGCCATCAGGAACAACATAGTCACCATCAGTAGCAACATAGTCGCCATCAGAAGCAACAAAGTCACCATCAGAAGAATGACAAACCTGATCAATCACTAACCTATCAGCTCCTTGTGACTTTTGGTACAGGTTACTATGGTAACCGGTTGATGGGGCCTGAGTTATTCACAAAAATCATGCAGTCTTGAAAGGTTATTTTCAAATCTCTCATGACATAAAAATCACAAAACAAAGATGCCGAATATATCTGGCATTCATATACATACACTAAGAGTCTATAAAATTAACATATGAAAAAATGTAATTACTAAAACCATATTGATTAACATGTTTAAGTGTGCAACTATGTTCTGTCTGATTTGACTGAAACTGAACACTGATGTTGCCCATAAAAACATGTACTTGAGAAAGTACAAGTAGGATGACAATAGGCAACAACCACTTTGCTGAATGCCTACAGCACAAGGGACTCAATAAAAGGTAAAAGTGGGACTAGTGTGAGATAGCTACATGATCTTGTTTCTGTTGCTATAGTTGTACCAGGCCTTCTTGCAATTCACCAATGAAGGTGTATGTATATCAATCATAATCCATCATATGGGAAGTGAAACAGGTCAATATGGCGAAAATATGTTTCCCTTCAACTACAACCAGGGGGAAACACTAGGCTGGTGTTCAGTGTATGTACCATCAAATCATTACATGACAGGGGCCTTCAGCTTGCATCTAGCAACAACACATTGATGATGTCCGTTGCTCTCCTTGCACTGTCACATTAGAAAAATAGAAATTCAACAAGAATGTTTCTGTGAGGATTGTGAATAAACACAACTTAGATAATGCTGATGTTCATTAAGTGTGGTGAAGACTCAAACAGAGACATCAAAGTTGAGTTGTCAACTGCTTAAAACTAAATAATACACTAACAGTGACAACCCACAGCAACAGCGCACAGCACAGCACAGCACAGTACACCATACATCACAAAAAGACAACTGTATGGTACACAAGTGAACAGCCGTGGTCCTGTCAACCAGACAGAAGGTCGCTGTGTCAACATCGTGCAGTAAAATAGATCGAAACGGCTACAACTAGACAAAATTACACATGAAGGATTAAAACACATGTATATCATTTACAAGATAAACCAACAAAAAAGAAACATGTTGGTCCAGAATATTTCCATATCAAACAAGTTAAGACATTGTTTAGTTTAACAGAACGATGTATAATTAGACAATACGCAGCTGTAGGTCACCGTAACCTTACAGGAAATGTGGTGAATCTGTTGAAACTAGCCTACTCCTTGTCTCGATGGTAATGCCATTTCTTTCTCGCTCAGTTCATCTCAGGGGCTCACATCCGACTCCATCGTGCCACCATGGCTTTACAGTTGGGACAGGTGTGGATCACATCCTTGCAGCCATCCATGCAGAACGGGATTAGACAGCATAAGAAATCACACCTGCAAACACATGTTCATGAGGTAACCATACACTGAGAGCTATGTAGATATGTCACTAGTGTGTGTGTGTAGCATAAAACTCTGGACTAGACACCCCATGAACTAATGCAAACTAGTCCAAGCATTCCAAATAAACTAGTTGTTCATCTACCACTACTACATATGAAAAGAAACACCCAGTCCATTCAACTATTCACTCGCCTTGGACCAGCAGGGTAGTATCTAGGCTGAACCCTTGGAAAACCGGTTAGCCCCATCCTGCATCAGGTTCTGGCCCTAGATCTGCTCCTAGAACTGCTCCATGTTAATGCGCCTCAATTTGAGAAAAAAGGCCACATTTTCAAATACAATGGGGCATTTTAACACTGTGCAGTCTTCACATGAAGAGCCCATGTTAGAAAATTCCTAGAGTATAGTGGGATGCAGAAACTATTGTCTGAACAATCTGTAAATATTATGTGTGACTGTGAACAGTCTGTAACTGTTGTGTGATTGTGAACAGTTTGTAAATGTTATGTGTGATTGTGAACAGTCTGTAAATGTAATGTGTGACTGTGAACAATTCATAAATGTTGTGCAACAGTCTACATTATCAGACAAAATAATCTAGTACACCGAGGCCACAACACAACATCAGACAATTCAAGCAAGCACACCTACCCAACAAGGCACAGGATGAGACAGATGACCCAGGTAAACGTGCCATTGTCGTAGTGAGTTGCCGTGACGATCTGTGCGGCGCAGTGTGGACACTGGGTCTGTACAGGTGCCTCCCTGAACTGCTGCACGACGGCGATGGTGGGCTGCTGGACGACCACAGTGGTGCTCGCCTGTCCCTGTGGGTAGCCGCCGGGCTGACCTGCAAAATACCCGCACATCACTCTCAGAATTTGGACAGACTTGCTACCTGTTACCCAGATTCAACTCCTAACTGAAGCAGACAATCATTAAAGGGAGATAAAACTATGGAAAAAATTAGTAGATTGTTTCCTTCGAAGTTATTTTTAAAGATTCATAGATTTATTTTTTTTGAACTATGAAAAGTAATTTACTTGAGATAGGGACTGGGTGGGAAACAACATGGCTCTTCAAGACACATTCTCCATTTTTAAGGCAGACTCTAAATTCAAAAGCTTTATAAGACAGGCCTTTTTAGGACAGACAGTTTTGTGTTACTATTTTTCTTCAGAAATACTCCTCAATCATGAGAGTTTAACTGCATTGTTTCATTCTTGATCTATAACTAGTCATATCCTCATGAAGAGAATATAGTGTTACTATTTGGTTGATATTATTAAATTTAATTAAAATGAAGAAAATACAATGAAAGCTTGTCACCATAAACTCTATCAAGACAAATAATTATTTAATTTGTAGTAACCAGTGTTGATTTACAAAAGACTTAAGATAAAGACAACATTCAATTGCAACATAGGTTCCATCTACCACAGGTGGGCTAAATACAATAGATTGATGTAGCCAGGGAGGGTAAGAAGAACTTAAGAAATATCATTAATCAAGAGTAACAAATACTAATTCAAACAAAACAGTAAAATGTTGTGTAATTATTAGTTAATCTAACTGGATAATCTGTTGATGGTAGAGTGCCACCTGATGATAAGTGTGCAAGTCATTTTGTGAACACAACACACTGAAGGCGAGAAGACACCAATGTATAAAGGGAGGTAACTGCCACATCCAGGAAAATTTCTACATGACTGAGAGTCGACGGGAGCATATTGCATCCACATGACTGCGATTTGATTGGGCAAACTTGCATCTTAGTTTCTGAAATGTATCGCAACAAAAGGTCCAGTGTGACAGATAAGACAGGAGTCAAGGTGAAGAAAGTCGGGACCAAGTGGCCACTTCCCACTTTACTTGACATTAGGGCCATTATCCCATTCACTTATATAGTAATCATGACAACTTGACTCTCAGTCCCCCATTCTTAGTTGTACTGCTTCCTACCGACTCCGTCAACAAGGTGCTCCTGACTCCTGACTTGTGCAGTGAACACAGAACCTACCAGCAGAAGCTTTTAACATTGAAAGACAATGGAAACAATGGCTAGATCTATGAAGTGCTATGAAAACATCCCTCATCCGATGCATTGAATCATATTGACTATATGTGAAGAAACGGGAGTATCTGTGAGTGAGTTACAAACACTGGTTAGAAGCAGTGTTTGAAATAAACAAATATTGTCTGCCTGCCATCAGGACCCACATACCTCAGAATCTGCAGGCCCTCATTTAAAAGACTGCAGATTACTGTGACAAATAAATCAACACGAAAATTTACAGCAGGCCATAGGCCCCACAGGAGATCTACCTGCCACGGGCCTAAGGGCAGGTGTTTATTTCAAACACTGGTTAGAGGTGCCATGTTCATGTACAGTGTTCAAACAGGAATAAATTAAATCAAATGCATATCCATATTTATTAAAAAGAAATGAAAAAGCTCTCAATCTGGGTAGCATTCAGGTTTCACAAAAACCAATGAAAGATCAACAGCACTGCACCATTTTAGTAAATCAATACTTTGATGAAACAGGTCATTATTTGTTTGACATGTTCCATATGTAATAGGATTCTAAAACAATGTTTATCATCACATTCTTACACATAGTCACTCTCGTAACAATTACTGATTGTTCAAACGGGTGTAATCAGGTGAACTTGTTTGAACACAAGTACAGGACCACTATCAACACTAAACGTTGTAATCAACTCCAGCAAATAGAAGTGAAACTGTGTTGGCCACAAACATCAAGGGGTTGAACAATGTTACACAGCTGACTAATAAATTGTCAGTGCTTCTCTTCCTTACACACCTGGCTGACTGTAACCATGGTAACCTGAAATGTTAACACAATGAAGCACAAGGATTAAAAGAAATAAAAAGAAGTTACAACAATTCCACAAATCCAGAATGACTTGACAATATTTATGTAGTACCATATATGCTGCACAGTTGATTAATGCACATGGACATGTCGAACAATGTCACAAAATTAAAAATTATAATTAATTCATTAGTAGCTTGCATCATCAGACTTAAAATAATCTGGACAGTGGAAATAAAATATTCAAGAATTATTGATATTAATGATATTGCTTAGCAATAAGCCAGGCATTAACAGATGATATGTATACATACTGTTAGTGTGTTATGGAGTGCAACAAGCACCTGTTAACATGGGTTAACTAGCATGCAGTATTGTACGGCACAATGAAAGAGAGCAACCAACCACAAAGATACTGAAACATTGTTAACACAAAGTACCTCGGCCATCAACACATCTAGAGTTGAAGCTAGTGCCGACCCACATGAACTACACACCTACAATATACTACTAAAGAGAAGTTAAAAAAGGTTTAACCTATCATGACAATACAGATTAACTATAGACATATGAACAAATTGGGTGTTCATCGAGTTATTTTGAATAACCTATAACATCACAGAACAATCTGCAGGATGTCAACAGAACAATCCGCAGGATGTCAACAACAGAACAATCTGCAGGATGTCAACAACAGAACAATCTGAGGGCTGTCAAGAGAACAATCTGCAGGACATCAACAACAGAACAATCTGCAGGATGTCAACAACAGAACAATCTGCAGGATGTCAACAACAGAACAATCTGAGGGCTGTCAAGAGAACAATCTGCAGGACATTAACAACAGAACAATCTGCAGGATGTCAACAACAGAACAATCTGAGGGCTTTGAAGAACAGAACAATCTGCAGGATGTCAACAACAGAACAATCTGCAGGATGTCAACAACAGAACAATCTGAGGGCTGTCAAGAGAACAATCTGCAGGACATCAACAACAGAACAATCTGCAGGATGTCAACAACAGAACAATCTGCAGGATGTCAACAACAGAACAATCTGCAGGATGTCAACAACAGCACAATCTGCAGGAGGTCAACAACAGAACAATCTGCAGGATGACAACAACAGAACAATCTGCAGGATGTCAACAACAGAACAATCTGAGGGCTGTCAAGAGAACAATCTGCAGGACATCAACAACAGAACAATCTGCAGGATGTCAACAACAGAACAATCTGCAGGATGTCAACAACAGAACAATCTGCAGGATGTCAACAACAGCACAATCTGCAGGAGGTTAACAACAGAACAATCTGCAGGATGTCAACAACAGAACAATCTGCAGGATGACAACAACAAGACAATCTGCAGGATGTCAACAACAGAACAATCTGAGGGCTGTCAAGAGAACAATCTGCAGGATGTCAACAACAGAACAATCTGCAGGAGGTCAACAACAGAACAATCTGCAGGATGTCAACAACAGAACAATCTGAGGGCTGTCAAGAGAACAATCTGCAGGACATTAACAACAGAACAATCTGCAGGATGTCAACAACAGAACAATCTGCAGGATGTCAACAACAGAACAATCTGCAGGATGTCAACAACAGAACAATCTGCAGGATGTCAACAACAGAACAATCTGAGGGCTGTCAAGAGAACAATCTGCAGGACATCAACAACAGAACAATCTGCAGGATGTCAACAACAGAACAATCTGAGGGCTGTGAACAACAGAACAATCTGCGGGATGTCAACAACAGAACAATCTGCAGGATGTCAACAACAGAACAATCTGAGGGCTGTCAAGAGAACAATCTGCAGGACATCAACAACAGAACAATCTGCAGGATGTCAACAACAGAACAATCTGCAGGATGTCAACAACAGAACAATCTGCAGGATGTCAACAACAGCACAATCTGCAGGAGGTCAACAACAGAACAATCTGCAGGATGTCAACAACAGAACAATCTGCAGGATGTCAACAACAGCACAATCTGCAGGAGGTTAACAACAGAACAATCTGCAGGATGTCAACAACAGAACAATCTGCAGGATGACAACAACAAGACAATCTGCAGGATGTCAACAACAGAACAATCTGAGGGCTGTCAAGAGAACAATCTGCAGGATGTCAACAACAGAACAATCTGCAGGAGGTCAACAACAGAACAATCTGCAGGATGTCAACAACAGAACAATCTGAGGGCTGTCAAGAGAACAATCTGCAGGACATCAACAACAGAACAATCTGCAGGATGTCAACAACAGAACAATCTGCTGGATGTCAACAACAGCACAATCTGCAGGACGTCAACAACAGAACAATCTGCAGGATGTCAACAACAGAACAATCTGCAGGATGTCAACAACAGAACAATCTGCAGGATGTCAACAACAGAACAATCTGCAGGATGTCAACAACAGAACAATCTGAGGGCTGTCAAGAGAACAATCTGCAGGGCATCAACAACAGAACAATCTGCAGGATGTCAACAACAGAACAATCTGCAGGATGTCAACAACAGAACAATCTGAGGGCTGTCAAAAGAACAATCTGCAGGACATCAACAACAGAACAATCTGCAGGATGTCAACAACAGAACAATCTGCAGGATGTCAACAACAGAACAATCTGCAGGAGGTCAACAACAGAACAATCTGCAGGACATCAACAACAGAACAATCTGCAGGATGTCAACAACAGAACAATCTGCAGGATGTCAACAACAGAACAATCTGAGGGTTGTCAAAAACAGAACAATCTGTGGGATGTCAACAACAGAACAATCTGCAGGATGTCAAAAACAGAACGATCTGCGGGATGTCAACAACAGAACAATCTGCAGGACATCAACAACAGAACAATCTAATGGCTGTCAAGAACAATATGTGGACATCAACAACAGCACAATCTGAGGGCTGTCAACAACAGAACAATCTGCAAGATGTCAACAACAGAACAATCTGCAGAACGACAACAACAGAACAATCTGTGGAATGTCAACAACAAAACAATCTGCGGGATGTCAACAACAGAACAATCTGTGGGATGTCAACAGAACAATCTGCAGGATGTCAACAGAACAATCTGCAGGATGTCAACAACAGAACAATCTGCAGGATGTTAAGTTAACTGCTTTTGTCAAGTTAAACATTCAGGAGTGGGTGGGCTGGGATTTTGTATCGAGATTAGATTCTTCAGCTACACCTACAAAACCAGATATTTTTTTATTTTAATCTACAAGCTTCTATGACAGCAGTCTGTAAATAATCGAGTCTGGACCAGACAATCCAGTGATTGATACCATGAGCACTGATCCATGCAATTGGGATCGATGACATGCTTCAACCAAGCCTGCCCACCTCTTACGACGCCTCTTACATAGTCACCTTTAAAACACCTTGCAACAATGTAATTTTTGTGGCAGGCAATTTCTTTTTTTTCCCAGTCAAAAGCATAATTATTATTTTCAAGACTTTTCGGAGAAATTTTATTTCTTACGATAAAATACAAGACCCCCTCTCCAGAATATCAAATGGTCCGTCTCTATCTTTATGTTATGCAAGAGGTCATCTATGATGATAAGTTGTAGGCTTATCAAGAGGGGTCACAGCCACATCCACGGTACATCCACCCGCCACACAGTTGGTACATCCATTCAGAGGGTACATGGACTCACAGAGGTACCCTGTTGAACACAATGACCATGTGTGCTACAGCCCAAGTTTTTCTCCATAAGTGCTGGAACACAGAGGGCGTTAGTCTCCTTGCACATGACTTGTGATGACAGCAAGTGATTGTGTCTTCAACTTCACCTCATATGTTCTCTGACCCGTGAAGATTCCGGGATAGAATAGGTCTTCAGCAACCCATGCTTGCCGTAAAAGGTGACTATGCTTGTCGTAAAAGGCGACTAACGGGATCGGGTGGTCAGGCTCGCTGACTTGGTTGATGCATGTCATCGATCTCAATTGTGTGGATCGATGCTCATGATATCAATCACTGGATTGTCTGGTCCAGACTCGATTATTTACAGACCGCCGTCATATAGCTGGAATATTGCTGAGTGCGGCGTTAAACAACCAACTAACCAACCAACCAACCATATGTTCTCTAATTGAATCTGTGGGGATTCCCGGGTATTTGTTTGTGTGTTTCTTGTTTCACACTCAGCAATATTCCAGCTATATGACAGCTCCCTGCAAATAGTCAAATCTGGACCAGACAATCCAGTGATTGGTGTTATCTAGCTGGAATGCTGCTTACCGTGGCATTAAACAACATTCTACTTGAACTTGGAAATTAGTCGCAATCACAATCTGCTTGCTACTACTCAAACAACTCTGAAAATGTCCCATTCCAGGTTGATGTTTTCTAGAAGATACAGCACAAGTGGGTGTCAGGCAATGGCATGGAGCAGCCTCTAGAGCCAGCAGGCAGCCAGGCACACAACGGGGCGGACTCCTCAGACAGTTGTATGCATAGCTTATTGACAACTCCCACGCATGTTACTGGTAATCAAGGATAAGTTGAACCAACTCACCAAACGCGTTTGAGACAAGTAGGCAGTGCACAAAATTTGGGCAAAAATATTTGGTTTATTACAGATAGAGAGGATGTACGTATGTTCTGCATCAGCAGGTCATGACGATGAAATGGACTATGCTCACGTGGACACATGTGTTCATAAGTCTACAAAGAGGTCGGAGTGATGCAGTGAAACAGACACTTATACACCAGCTTACAAAGAAGTTATACAATGCTATTTCAAGTAAAGGCCAAACTATTTTTCTCTTATTTTACGTTTTCCCTTAAAGATGCAAATGTTTTGTTTCACTCAGTGTACTCTCACACCAATCCCAGCCATGTGAAATTAAATCATTTGACTGCTCTCATTTGTACACAGATATAAAATAACTACTGCTGTTTATAAATATATTCTCCAGTTGATCAGTAAGCATACACATTAAAGCCTAAATTACATCAAATAGACTTATTAGGAGCTGTGTGGACAGGTGCCCTACAGTTTACAATATATTGCTGTCGATGGCTGTCAGCAACCATATTAGTTTTTACCCCCAAGATGTTGAATATCTGAATCCGTGTCTCCAAATGTTTGGCCCATATATATACCAAGTTCACCATCCACCCACAGCTAAAGGCTACAGGATGTGCAGTCAACGCTGTCTCCATCTTCACAATCAGTTAAACAGGAAATCAAATACTTTGGCCTTTGCATGCATTGTTCCTGTAGACATGGTCTCTTCGCTTCGTTGAGTATCCTTGTTATAAGTAGCAAGGATTACATTCTCATTATCATTCTGAATCTCGAGTAGTCGATAGCTGCCTGAACATTATTCATGCATCTATAATCTAGAAAGCCATTCTTAGCAATACCAATCCATACCCAACGTGACCTTGCCCTTCTCCAGGACTGCCTTGTGTCTCCTCACCGTGTCCATCTTCCCTAGGCAAGGGAGTTAACTGACTACAAATTCCAGTTTCCACCCTTGCCCAACTAGGCTGGAATTAAGGAGTTATATTTTGGCTGGACTAACAAGTCCATAAATAGTCCAATCAAAATCGCGCAATGAAATCAACACCCTGTTCGTAAACCGCCTTGCAGATTTCCGTTGATTGCAGGAATTACAAAACATGCGTACCGTCAACTTAGCCTCAACAGATTTTTTTCCAAATCTTTTCATGTTTTTAATCAAGGTGCTCACGTGATTTGATGCACTTTGCAAAGAAAGACCTGTTTTATTACAATATAGATCTTGACTATTGATCAGATCGGCTCTACTGGGCACTGCCATTTTGTTTGAATCAAATGCAAGTGATATGAGAGGTGGAATTAGGAGGGACATAGAAGGGACATAACTCGTAATAGTCACTGATCGAACCCAGAAATTCCAGCTAAGTTTGGCAAGGGTGGAAACTGGAACTTTTATAGTAAGTTACCTGCCTTGCCTCGGGAGGCAGAACATCTTACTCTTGTCACAGCACGTACAATTAGCCAGAATACCACTATGAGTCATAAACATGCAGACTCAGGACAACCATATACATGTGAGCAGATAGCACAGGTACAATCCACCATACAAGCACCTGCTGAATCAACTCAACTTTTACAGGGTTTCCATAGCAACTGATTACGGAAGTTGTGGAAGATTTTAGAAAATATCAATACACGTAGAAGATCAATGTTACATTCATCATGTGTTTTAATGTTAAATAAAATATTTTAAATAAAATACTTTCAGAACCAAGCAAATTCTTTTTGAAAGCAGGTTAGTATGTGTGGGCAAGCCCCATGCTATAAGCTCCGTGTTGGGGATCTAGGCTCAGTGTTGGGGCTGCAATACCAACCTTGACCATACATCGGCTGGCCTGGAAACAAAACTCACATGAATTAGTTATGTGGACGGTCAGTCAGCTGACCCAGGTCACAACACATACTTCTCTGTTTGAATAGGTCTTGTAGTCATAGTCACATAAAATGAAGCGTAGGATCCTACTGGGCAAAAGAAATTATTTCGACACGAGGACATAACCTGCATCATCAGCATCTAAAGTCTGTAGGGATGAAAGCCATCAACATCCAACACAACTTGAAAACATCATCCCAAGGTTTTTCTTGTTATATAAGAACAATGTTTCTATTCAAAAGTAAACATGCTGTGAATTAGGCATCTAAATTATGAAGAGTTGTGAGTTAAAGTAGACGCTTGTGAAAACAACAGGCTTGTGTGTCAGCTTGTCCCTACTTGTTGTAAACCTGGCCACCTTATTGAAAGCCTCAGTACATGTTACAATTAAAGAATAGGATCAGTACATCAATCTACACATGGGTTGGCACATATAAGTGTGATCAGGGAAAACTTGGTGACACCCCCAGTATTCAATGTGAAGATGACGCCCTGCCCTACCAACAGGCCTACAGTCATCACACTGAAGAATAAGTATACAATGTCAGAAAATTCAAAGGCTACAAATTCAAAAACTCTTCACCATAACTGAATATAAAAGAAAATATTAAAGGTTTAAGAACAGTCAAACATATGTAATTTTATTGATGATGTCAACCTTACACCACATGAAAACTCCACAGTGTCATTAAACCGAAGCAATTTGAAAAGTTTAAATTCGTTCACACGCTGTAATGCAATTCCCACACCCATGCTGGCATTTGATTGGTAGGTTACTGTACATGTGATTCCTGTTTCCTTATCCGGGTATATGGACGACAGTGGTGGTCGGTGGGTTATTATAGATGTGAATTGTTTCCTCATCACTTAGCTATGAACCATCCAGGTATGTGGAGGACAGTGGTGGTCGGTGGGTTATTATAGATGTGAATTGTGTTTCCTCATCACACAGCTATGAACCATCCAGGTATATGGGGGACAGTGGTGGTCGGTGGGTTATTATAGATGTGAATTGTGTTTCCTCATCACACAGCTATGAACCATCCAGGTATGTGGAGGACAGTGGTGGTCGGTGGGTTATTATAGATGTGAATTGTGTTTCCTCATCACACAGCTATGAACCATCCAGGTATATTGAGGACAGTGGTGGTCGGTGGGTTATTATAGATGTGAATTGTGTTTCCTCATCACACAGCTATGAACCATCCAGGTATGTGGAGGACAGTGGTGGTCGGTGGGTTATTATAGATGTGAATTGTGTTTCCTCATCACACAGCTATGAACCATCCAGGTATGTGGGGGACAGTGGTGGTCGGTGGGTTAATAAAAGATGTGAAGTGTTTCCTCATTCGGGTGTGTGGAGGACAGCGGTGATTGGCAGGTAATGTGAGGATGTAAATCTAGTCGTTTCAACTATACATCTCCCTGGATGATTAAAGGTTGAAGTAAAATGTTGTGGTTCCGAATGCACTGATTCAAAATTCGGGAAAATTGGTAGAAGGTTGTTTGTAACATTTCAAAAGAAGAGAATAATTCCTATTTTCATGTGCTTCATAAATAACCAATAATGAAGTTATAGTATCAGTGTGTCAGACGAGAATGAATCACATTTACTTTGTATAACTCAATATCTGAAAAGTCTTCAGTGAGTGTTCAGTGGACAAAAGCCCCATTTAAGTCCCACACCATGGTTCACAGTGTTCATGTGGAGATGGGCATTGTATGCCTACCACATGTATTCCATCCGCCGCGAGCTAGGTGAGCACCAGTGTGTGTTCACTGAGGCAAAAACTATTTACAGTTACATGGCTCAAGCACGCAAACAGGCCGTGTGCATTACTTGTCCACTGTACACTCAAATAATGACCAGAAAAAAACAAGTAAAAAAACCACATCAGACATACCGTATTTGCCGTAATAAATGTCCCCAGTTCTTAGAAAATTGATAAGGAGGGGCGGTTATTGAAACCAAACACAAAAAGTTACATTTGTTTTTACAGATCAAGCAGTAGTGAACAACTTAGTTAAAAAGTCACTGAAACTAAGTTTTCGATAACGGTTACTTGGGAATTACATACCTCTTCTACACTGCTGTGATTAGCAAAACTGTGAGAAATAGACAAGACAACATAGAAAATTGCCAGGGCTAACATGGGGCTCTTATAAAGATAACATACATATTGGTCTAGAAGTTCAAAACGGCGTCTAAAACGTCAAATACGGTAATTCTGACAACAATTACCAATGGTGTGCTGAGGTGAGATTTATGAAAGACTATAGCAGTGACAGAAACTAAGTGGGATCCAGAGATCCTTGTGCACTGGAATCTATATATCTTCTTAATCTTGCTGTTTTGTAACAACAGGGCTATGACAAAGATCCCTTGACTTTCATTTTCACTTGGAACATGGAACACAGGGACACTGTGAAACAGAACTCTACTTATCACATGATCACAAATTTCAGCACACACATTCTTTTACACTCCATAGATAGTAACACTCAGCTGAAGTAAGTTTGTAAGAAAAAGTGAACTATTTATGGTCAGTTAAACAGACTTAAGAAAGTTCTGATTCATCCATCAATTGAAATTAATTCAATTTTCACATTCTGACATGAAGACATTAAACAATATGTAGATATTTTAATTACCCACGTGGTGAAGATACAGGTGGTAAGATACTAAATTCCTACCTCACATGTGTCGTACAAGGTTGACCTCGTTTTATTTGTTTTGATTGGATAACCATGACCTCTGTCACACCTACTTTTTTCATTCATAAAAGATCGCTAGACGTCATTCATTTTGCAACTACAAGGCAGAGCTGAAGCAATCTCGTGAGAGCGAGAAATATTTACAAACACTTAATTCAAGCAAACAAAATAGTCACACGGATCAAATTCGGTTTGCACTCTATATAGGTTATGCATAGAGCTTCTACTGACATTATATAATCAAGCTATATCCATTTACAATGTACGACTACCGATCAATAGATTGAGGGTCCCCATGAGGGTGACGCAACCGGGTGGCACTGTTTCGGGAGTTGTTTGTTTCCAAATGTGAACAAGAACATTCCTTATCTCTAACGTAAAACGCTGTGTGTAGATCACGGTTGTCTTTTTTATTCCAGGGTCGTAGATTTAACATGAATGTCTTTGGCAAACACTCAGATTTCCCTCTTCCAAAATGATACGGACATGATAAAAATTCAGCTGATAGATCAAGGAAACCAAACCATTTGGATTGCACACCCAGGACCACGGCAGTGCGAGTGACTGACTGTTGGTCCAATATTCAAAGCACTGCGCTATTGTGACTTTTCAAATTTTCTTATAGGTGTTCTGCGTACTAACAACATGGCGCTTGAATTACCATAAGTTGAAGAAATTCTTCCAAAAGGATGTTGAGCGTCGGTGCTGTTATGTTTGCAAACAACTGCAGGCACATGTCATTAATGCGTATGCATAGAAATGTCAACAATACCCATATTTGGGCATATATCAATATTCATGTGCAACCAGATTTTGCAACCGGTTTCATTTTGGTCTGTCAACGAATGAAAGTTGTTATGTATTTACACTTAAATATATATTTAACGTGGGTAATAAATGAAATACCACACTCATTCTCGTTGGAGATACCATTTTTACGAAACTCGTGAAATTTCTATGGTATTTAATGAGAATGAGAGAAGTATTCTCTATATACATCACACATGACACTGAAATGTACTGGGGGAAAGCAATATACTACTAGATGAGAACAGTAAGTCTTTACTAGGGCTGTTATGATGCACTCACGTATTCTGTAAATCAAACCGCATACCTTCATGAACTGACCTTGTTATTCGTGGTCACTAGGATTGACTTTTTCCCAAAACATTAAAGACTGTAACCATGAATATGCAGTCTTGTCCATTTACATACCCTGTACCTAAAAATATCCATAAAAACTTATTCTATTCATAGATTTCTTAAAAAAGACAACACTCATATTGATTTAATTAAACAGTAATGTGGTCACTGGTCATTGTCACATTTAAGTAGATACTAGTACCTGGATAAGTGCGGTATATGAGTGTATGACATAATAATAATATTAACACTGTCAACATGGTCAAACCATGGCGATTAATTTATTTTCTTATTGTTTCACTGAACATAAGAAATAATACATCAACTGCTGACTTGTTATTGTGTTCGTGAATAAATATTAGCATTCATTACCCAGTATTCATGATACGTATCGTATTCGCCTCATAGTGTCTTCGTTGCAGCCCTAGCCACTACGAACTTATTCACTCAATCTTCCACTACTGATACACATTTCATATTTGTTTTAATATAAGGCTAAAAAAAAATAAAAGTCTTGGTTCTCAGTCAACGCCCACATCTTCAGAAAGTCTGCCGCAAGTCCATTTTCATTTACTGCACATCTCGGTTATGGTAATGAAGGCAATAGGAGTTTGTATGCTTGTTTATGAAGGGGGGCCCTTTCCCTGCTTTATGGTACACAACTGTTTATTTGGTTACATACTAGTTTGAACAAGCAAAAAAAAAAAAAACACCGAAAACCCACCCACCTGCACTCTATATATAAGTCAGTGTCTGAGAACCAATTCTCTTAATTTTATAAGCCTAACAAAGCAAACAACATTCTGGTAGCTGTGAATAACTCAACCTGGGTACTGACATACTGGCACTGGGCTCACATACTAATGTGTTAGTAGGACATACAAAACTGAAGCTGAACAACAATGAAGCTGGGTGCAAGATGGTTGCCTGTGAGTCAACACACTGCACACTCAGTCAACACTGCACACTCAGTCAACACACTGCACACTCAGTCAACACTGCACACTCAGTCAACACACTGCACACTCAGTCAACACACTGCACACTCAGTCAACACTGCACACTCAGTCAACACACTGCACACTCAGCCAACACACTGCACACTCAGTCAACACTGCACACTCAGTCAACACACTGCACACTCAGCCAACACTGCACACTGAGTCAACACACTGCACACTCAGTCAACACTGCACACTCAGTCAACACTGCACACTCAGTCAACACACTGCACACTCAGTCAACACTGCACACTCAGTCAACACTGCACACTCAGTCAACACACTGCACACTCAGTCAACACTGCACACTCAGTCAACACTGCACACTCAGTCAACACACTGCACACTCAGTCAACACACTGCACACTCATGCACACTGAGTCAACACACTGCACACTCAGTCAACACACTGCACACTCAGCCAACACACTGCACACTCAGCCAACACACTGCACACCCAGCCAACACACAGTACACTCAGCCAACACACAGCACACTCAGCCAACACACAGCACACTCAGCCAACACACAGCACACTCAGCCAACACACTGCACACTCAGCCAACACACTGCACACTCAGCCAACACACTGCACACTCAGCCAACACACTGCACACTCAGTCAACACTGCACACTCAGTCAACACACTGCACACTCAGTCAACACTGCACACTGAGTCAACACTGCACACTGAGTCAACACTGCACACTCAGTCAACACACTGCACACTCAGCCAACACACAGCACACTCAGCCAACACACTGCACACCCAGCCAACACACTGCACACTCAGCCAACACACTGCACACTCAGCCAACACACTGCACACTCAGCCAACACACTGCACACTCAGTCAACACACAGCACACTCAGTCAACACACTGCACACTCAGTCAACACTGCACACTCAGTCAACACTGCACACTCAGTCAACACACTGCACACTCAGTCAACACTCAGTCAACACACTGCACTCAGTCAACACACTGTACACTCAGCCAAAACACTGCACACTCAGTCAACACACTGCACACTCAGCCAACACACAGCACACTGAGTCAACACACTGCACACTCAACCAACACACTGCACACTCAGCCAACACACTGCACACTCAGCCAACACACAGCACACTCAGTCAACACTCAGTCAACACACTGCACACTGAGTCAACACACTGCACACTCAGCCAACACACAGCACACTCAGCAAACACACTGCACACCCAGCAAACACACAGCACACTCAGCCAACACACTGCACACTCAGCCAACACACTGCACACTCAGCCAACACACTGTACAAGTACAAAGTTTACTGTATTTTGCCAAAAAATTAATATCATAATCACACCAACAGCAATACAATGTACACATGCAAAAAACACAACAAAATGTAGCCACAGCTAGTGAAAGTACATGCAATTAAACCGACCTGGCACTCCATAAGGTTGACCTGTAATTGTCCAATTATTCTTCAATATCATATATACATAACAGTATATCGTCATGGCAACAGTAAGATAAGTGGTTTGATGAAAAGGTCTGGTGACATCCCTTGAACTACAACTGACGTTATCCCCACAGACCTGTAACAACCCTTCAGCTTATCCCCACAGGCCTGTGAAAGCCCTTGTGCTACGACTGATGTTATCCCCAAATGCCTGTGAAAGCCCTTGTGCTAAGACTGATGTTATCCCCAAATGCCTGTGAAAGCCCTTGTGCTACGACTGATGTTATCCCCAAATGCCTGTGAAAGCCCTTGGGCTACGACTGATGTTATCCCCAAATGCCTGTGAAAGCCCTTGTGCTACGACTGATGTTATCCCCAAATGCCTGTGAAAGCCCTTGTGCTAAGACTGATGTTATCCCCAAATGCCTGTGAAAGCCCTTGTGCTACGACTGATGTTATCCCCAAATGCCTGTGAAAGCCCTTGTGCTACGACTGATGTTATCCCCAAATGCCTGTGAAAACCCTTGTGCTACGACTGATGTTATCCCCAAATGCCTGTGAAAGCCCTTGGGCTACGACTGATGTTATCCCCAAATGCCTGTGAAAACCCTTGTGCTACGACTGATGTTATCCCCACAGACCTGTGAAAGCCCTTGTGCTACAACTGATGTTATCCTCCCAGACCTGTGAAACCCCTTGAGCTACAACTGACACTATCCCCACAGACCTGTGACCGCCCTTGACCTACAACTGACATTATCCCACAGACTTGTGACAGCCCTTGACCTACAACTGTTGTTATCCCCCTGACCTGTGACAGCCCTTGAGCTACAACTGTTGTTATCCCCCTGACCTGTGACAGCCCTTGAGCTACAACTGATGTTACCCCACAGACTTGTGACAGCCCTTGAGCTACAACTGTTGTTATCCCCCTGACCTGTGACAGCCCTTGAGCTACAACTGTCTTACTCCCACAGAACTGTGACAGCCCTTGACCTACAACTGACGTTATCCCACAGACTTGTGACAGCCCTTGACCTACAACTGACGTTATCCAAATAGACTTGTGACAGCAATTGAGCTACAACTGTTGTTATCCCCCTGACCCGCGACAGCCCTTGAGCTACAACTGATGTTACCCCACAGACTTGTGACAGCCCTTAAGCTACAACTGTCTTACCCCCACAGAACTGTGACAGCCCTTGACCTACAACTGACGTTATCCCAATAGACTTGTGACAGCAATTGAGCTACAACTGACGTTACCATCACAGACCCGCGACAACCGTTGAGCTACAACTGATGTTACCCCCACAGACTTGTGACAGCCCTTGAGCTACAACTGTCTTACTCCCACAGAACTGTGACGGCCCTTGAGCTACAACTGTGTTACTCCCACAGAACTGTGACAACCCTTGAGCTACGACTGACGTTTCTCCCACAGTGCATTCAGTGGAGGCAGGATGACTCGGCCCTATACATACATAAACATTCAGAGAATCTGACTCCTGAAAAATAACAGACCCTCTCCAACACTGTACAGGTGTAAATGAAGAAAATAGCCCCCCATGAAGACCCTCTCCAACACTTTACAGGTGTACTTGAAGAAGTGAGTCCCCCATGAAGACCCTCTCCAACACTGTACAGGTGTACTTGAAGAAGTGAGTCCCCCATGAAGACCCTCTCCAACACTGTACAGGTGTACTTGAAGAAGTGAGTCCCCCATGAAGACCCTCTCCAACACTGTACAGGTGTACTTGAAGAAGTGAGTCCCCCATGAAGACCCTCTCCAACACTTTACAGGTGTACTTGAAGAAGTGAGTCTCCCATGTAGACCCTCTCCAACACTGTACAGGTGTACTTGATATGTCTTCAGGTGATAGTTAGGTGAAAGACCTACCTGGTTGTTGGGGGTAACCGGGTTGAGCTGGAAAACAAATTACAGATTACAAAATTGCACATACATGCATACAACCTGCATGTTACTATGGTTACCAGTGATAGCTTTGTCTAACCACTACATACTACCAGTGTATATATATATATATTTATATTTATATATATATATATACACTGGTAGTATGTAGTGGTTAGACAGTGATATATGTGCGTAACCGATGCTACACATATCCCAGTGTTATGGGTTTTCGGACGTTTAATTAACATTCACAGTTTTCTTGCCAATCACATGAACAACTATGTAAAATCTCATTCACTTATAAAAGACAACTTTCTCTTAAAAGCAAGCCACCATCTGAGTATTCACAATGTCTGGGCGATGAGAATTCCCCGGTTATCACGAGCAATCACAATAAACATGGCCATCCGAAAACGAAATGTCCAAAAACCTATGATTTGACAATATGTAATCAGTAAGATCTATATGTTACCATGACCAGTGATATCTGCATGTTACCAAGTAACCAGTGACGGCTATATTCGCTACCAGAACAGCCCTGCATTTCTGCCATGTGGAATTCCAGCAAGTTCTTACCTGGGTATCCGGGGGGCGGAGGTCCAGGTGGGGGGTACTGCCCTGCAAGTAGCAACAATCAACTGAATGTACAACATTCTTTAAATAGGACCATAACTATCTCTTAAAATGATTCTATTTTGTAGAAAGCAAGACTAATCAGGGATAGACCTCTTACAATTACTCTTCAAACACAAAATCTAACGAAGATTTCAGAATGAAGGCATTTTGGATTAGATGCACTTTACTTACAGCACTCATTTCTATATGGCACGATTTTCAAAAAAAAGGAATGATTGAGAAAAAAAGATTCTTATCAAGAAAGGGATATCTACACAGAGAGTCTGAACATCTTCTGGGCTTTGAATTTCATTTTACCACAGTTTTCAACCAATCAGACTGCAGCACATACTCACATTCATTTTACAATATACTTTCAATGTATCAAGACTGCAGTGCAAGCGAACAGCAGGAATAACTAATAGCGGTGATTTCTAAAGCTTCTAGTTATCCAAGCACTTGCACCATTACAGTGTCACCACAGCAGTTGATTATTTCAACACTGAACCGATGACATTCAAAACACCATGGAGAGGTAGTTAGCTATTCGTTATTACTTCTGATTGTAGGGGGAGAAGAGGGACTCCCTTGTTGTCTGTGGGGTAGGCTGGTGGGGTTTAGAGTTTGGCCTTGTATCTACCTGGAGGTGGCACTCCCTTGTTGTCTATGGGGTAGGCTGGGTGGGGATGAGAGTTTGGCCCTGTACCTACCTGGAGGTGGCACTCCCTTATTGTCTGTGGGGTAGGCTGGGTGGGGATGAGAGTTTGGCCTTGTATCTACCTGGAGGTGGCACTCCCTTATTGTCTGTGGGGTAGGCTGGGTGGGGATGAGAGTTTGGCCTTGTATCTACCTGGAGGTGGCACTCCCTTGTTGTCTATGGGGTAGACTGGGTGGGGATGAGAGTTTGGCCTTGTATCTACCTGGAGGTGGCACTCCCTTGTTGTCTATGGGGTAGACTGGGTGGGGATGAGAGTTTGGCCTTGTATCTACCTGGAGGTGGCACTCCCTTATTGTCTGTGGGGTAGGTTGGGTGGAGATGAGAGTTTGGCCTTGTATCTACCTGGAGGTGGCACTCCCTTATTGTCTGTGGGGTAGGCTGGGTGGGGTTGAGAGTTTGGCCTTGTATCTACCTGGAGGTGGCACTCCCTTGTTGTCTATGGGGTAGGCTGGGTGGGGATGAGAGTTTGGCCTTGTATCTACCTGGAGGTGGCACTCCCTTATTGTCTGTGGGGTAGGCTGGGTGGGGATGAGAGTTTGGCCTTGTACGTACCTGGAGGTGGCACTCCCTTATTGTCTATTGGGTAGGCTGGGCCACCGGGGTAAGGTGGTGGGGGTCCGGACATGTCTCACAGTTGAGTAGCTTCTGTAATGTAAATTGTAGTATTTAACTCTGTGAACAATAATCAAGGTGAGATACAGAATCTTAATCAAAAGCATGCTGAAGAAACTAAACCTGCTCCTTCAAAACCGATGAATTATGAACATGCTACACATATTGCAACAAAGATTCAAAAGAAGCAGCTGGCACCAGCAGAATCTTCAGAATGGAAGCCATGCTGATATGTGATCAGAATTCTGTGTGATTTTTACAGACACTTTTACTGAGATACCACATAGGCGGTTTGATTCTTAAACACACTTTTACTGAGATACCACATAGTCGGACCTGATTCTTATAGACACTTTTACTGAGACACCACATAGTCAACTGATTTAGAAATTCAGTACATACACGGATATATCAAGATGCAATACAGCATGTTACAGACACCCATATATCAAGACACATATTTCCCAGAACATGGTAATCAGCTTGTGATCGAGTTGTTTTATGTTTCATGTATACAATTCTAGCCTCATATCTTTAAGAAGATAGTTTGGCTAGAGAAAGACACAGCACTGTAGCCCACCTTCTGTTGTCACCAGTTTTGTGTTCCCATGAAGCAATAATTCAGTGGATATGTATCTAAGATTCAAAACTAAGTGCCTTGCTGGGCAAATACGTTTTGGAAAAAAGGACATTTTCTTCAAAATAGTGACTTTCGCTCGTATTTTCCAACTTAATTTTTTATTCAATGCAATAATACAACACTTCCTCCTTTTTGTCCCATTAACTATGAAGCGTAAGCCACCTCAACAGAGCCTTCACTACTGTTACACCAGAAGTGCGAGTAGGAAATTAGTCGTTTCAATTTAGGAATTATTCTTGACATTTGCTGAATACTTGGGGCTGAATATCAGTCTTGGAGTTTCAGTTTGTGGTAGAATGACAGGCTATCACCATGAACCAAGTCATGAAGTTGGACCACTCAATCCTTAATGTCTGGTGATGGGTTTAGTACCGCTTTCCAGAGTATTTCAGTTATAATCATGGAGTGTGATTAATGTGGGAAGGAAGCTAAAAGTGTTAACTTGTCTAAAATCTGAACAGACATTTTGGATTTATCGAATCAACATTATAATTTCCTTTGATGTTTACAGTGTACAACAATGTTGACACAGAGGTACGTTCGTGATCTTATTAATGAGATTTGGCCTCTTACCTTCCAAATAAAACAATGTGGTTTATCTTCCAATTTTAAATGGTACATGTCAAGAGCTTGATTTAGTGTGACATCGACTTAATCATAAAATTCTGTCAAGAGACATTTTCAAATAATGAATTAGATTCTGCACCAGTAAGATTTTGTGCAGACATGCCCTTGTCACTAGGGGCATGCTTGTCAGCTATTGGATAAAACAGTTACATGACTGACACTTGACAGTGTATACAAAATATCAGTGAGCCATTGCATAATTCAGGGGCTCCACCCATTAGTGTGCCGTTGTACAAAACAACTTTAGCGCTACGACTGTCGTAAGTCTATGTTATTGTTAAGGTATGGGAGTTACGATCACCTTAGCGCTAAGTCCGATCTGTACAACGGCACCCAGGGCATTTTGTTTGGAATCGTAGACAAAGCCCTGTCGATGTAACAGATTCGAGTGGTTTCACTTTCACTTTAAAGGCTCCTATCACTGGATGGTGAATTAACTAATTATTTGGACAAAGAGAGAACACATGATTTCTCCTTAGAAAGTGGTAAGATTTAAATATTTCTTCTGTCACTTGAAATATCTCCCTCTCACTGTAGTTATCAGCATGTGTATGTGGACTGTCTGGTTCCTGACAACATTTAGTCAAACCTAGGAGTAAATTTGACCTTATCTGAGCTATCTATGTTTTAGTTTTTTTCAGCGTCCTGTAAGACATTTAGGCTGACAGTACCTCTTTAAAAATAAATTTATTTTATCTTAAATTTTTTTTAACTGTTTTAATATGTACTAAGTGACACAATAACCTTCTTTTTTTCTTCTTCTATAAATAACAATTTAATACAAACACCAGTCCCTATTGCAAGCTACATCTTCTGTCAGATGGTTCTGTGGTAAAAGATCAAAACTTCCTCCTTATAACAAGCAATCAGCTGACCAAATAGTTCCTCAATACAAAGGAAACAAATTTCCTCTCCGCCTTCACTGCCTGGTAATCTGCAGTAGTATCATGACCTTTGCCGGATACACTTCATTATCAGCAAGCATACTTACTTGATGTTTAACGTGAAATACCAATGCCTTGATGGTGGGTTTTACCCAAGTATTAAACATTTAAGATTGATCTGCAGGATTTTCCTTCAAAACTGATCTATGATAGATATGAAATACTGTTGAGAGCAACATCCAACCACACACCTGTGTATCTACGCTCACTATGTAGTAACTCCAAGGAATCATGTGCCATGTCCATACACACACACTTCATTAGCCAGGTTTCATTCACTTTGGTTATATGCCCAATCTGGAAAACGGGAGGTTGACAGTGAAGTGCTCGGGCAAAATTTATTACTGATGGTGCCAACCCCAGTTCCCTGAATCCCAAATACCATCAAGGCCTAATGTCACTCTCACTGCTCATCCAGCCCTGAATCCTGAATAATACTTAACACAAATCTCAAAGGCATGGGTGCACGTGGAGATAAATTAGATCTAGGCCTACTCAAAAAAACATTGACAAAATATAATATTATAAAGGAAACTTTTACTTACACCATTATTTTTTTTTAATGTTGAATCTGAGTACCAAATATGATTTTTTTTAAATCCTGCATGCCACACTACCGGGTCTCGAATACATTCTCATTTGACTCCTCTATCTGCTTACCAACAGGAGGTTGGGAGAGTCTCAGAGCAGTACAGATGTTGGCCTACTAGCAGACCTCTCTGATAATAGGGTCAATTATAAGCAGTGATTATCTCAAGTTGATGCCTAGTCACAGAATTTAAACTATTTGTGAAAACAGTATCAAATATCACTGTTGGACGTTATAAATGGTTGCCTTTGTGACGCAGACTATCTACCCTGTCGACCTTCTGGCCAGACAACAACACGCATGGCACTTCCTGCTGTGATTGCCTAATGGGAGAACAGGCGTGAGGACTAATTATAGCTAATGTTACAGCAAGCTGCCTGCCCGGACTTCTCGCTTTGATTTGTAGAGGAAAGTATCCCACCACCCTGTATATTTCCATCCTCTTAACAACACAACGAACCAGGTCCAAACAATGCGAACTCGACGAACACAACAACGACAAATGTTACATGTAACATTGTAAACATGGTACTACTTGGCAGGCTGACCACCAACAAAACAAAAATCGTCCTCCACAGCTTCCACATTTGTCTCTCGCTAAACACAAAGAACTCCCTCACTTGACAATACCTGAAATCTTAATGAATGTGTTTGATATATCAATAGAGATGAGAAGGATAACAAGAAGCAGCTACATACCTAAATGTCAGATACGTTAGATCTCTGTTGATCGCTCACGCCTAATGTAAGTACTGCAGTGCCGTGTGCAGAAATTACTTCGTGGGTAATACCGAATTATCTCCCTTTCTGCGTCACATGACTTGTGTTTATGGGCGTTATGTAATATGCACAGTGTAGCGCGGCTTGGAGTTGTGAAATGACAGCTAATATATTTATTCGTATCTTTCTATTCTTTCTCTTGTGAGCTTTAACTATTAAATATTATAATATATTATATATCATCATATTCAGTCTTGAATTATCTAATTGAGGGATGATCAGATTCGCTGAGAATTTAGTCCGAAAAGGAACAGATGGAACCAGAAATTGGGTCCTGCGAAATAAAATTACTTGAGCTAAAATTCCGGAGGAACCAATTTTGCAGGAGGTAGGAACACTTTATTTCGGTGTTAAATGATGATATGCCCGGGCCAAAGGTTTGGTACAGGGTTTCCTACAAGTTGGAATTTGGTCTTTGATGTGATATAAACGTTATTGAGTGGAAACATTCATATATAATTAATGGGTGTTCTCATTCGGTTGAGTAAATGTTGTAATCCCAATCGGTCGAATATTTAGATAAGAATAAGAAAAGTGTGTTCGACCATCAACACTGTGTTTTGTAGCATATTCGGCGGCTCAGTATCTGGAGATTAACTATCAGCTAGAGCATTCCAAGATTTATCAAGAAGATGTATTAAGACTTTTTTAAAAAGTAAGTTTGAATGTCAGCACTGTTTTTTTATTCCCGAAGTGAATAGCTTAAATTCCATGATAACAACATCTTCAGAAAATAGTTTTCATACATGTCCACACGCCCAGCACGTTCGCAATGGAATCTGTGTATTCCGTGATAAGTCACCAAGCTTCTGACTCTAACTTTCAAGAGGTTGGAGTACTTTCTTAACCCGAAACCCATGTGAAGGTAACCCAAGCCAAAATGTTAATACTAAAATGGCTGCCTTATATAGGTTTGAAAATATACTTGATCGCTGTTGATTGAGTGAAGTCAAAGTCAAAGATAGAAAAAAACACTGGAGGATCACCTCTCCCAATCATGGAATAGTACTCTACGGTCAAGCTTTAAAACTAATATCATTCTTTAAAATAGTGCTCTTTTTCGAAAAATATGTACTTCTCCCAAAAGAAACAGAGCTAGTCCACTGGAACATTATACAATATGCATCTAAACCGCAACAAAACTGACACAGAGGTAATCCAAGTGGTCATTATGCAACATGCAGAACTAAACTGACACAGAGCTAGTCGACTGGAACATTATACAACATGCATCTAAACCGCAACAAAACTGACACAGAGGTAATCCAAGTGGACATTATGCAACATGCAGAACTAAACTGACACAGAGCTAGTCCACTGGAACATTATACAAGATGCAGAACTAAACTGACACAGAGCTAGTCAACTGGAACATTATACAACATGCAGAACTAAACTGACACAGAGCTAGTCAACTGGAACATTATACCAAATGCAGAACTAAACTGACACAGAGCTAGTCAACTGGAACATTATACAACATACAGAACTAAACTGACACAGAGCTAGTCAACTGGAACATTATACAACATACAGAACTAAACTGACACAGAGCTAGTCAACTGGAACATTATACAACATGCAGAACTAAACTGACACAGAGCTAGTCAACTGGAACATTATACAACATGCAGAACTAAACTGACACAGAGCTAGTCAACTGGAACATTATACAACATGCAGAACTAAACTGACACAGAGCTAGTCAACTGGAACATTATACAACATGCAGAACTAAACTGACACAGAGCTAGTCGACTGGAACATTATACAACATGCATCTAAACCGCAACAAAACTGACACAGAGGTAATCCAAGTGGACATTATGCAACATGCAGAACTAAACTGACACAGAGCTAGTCCACTGGAACATTATACAACATACTGGACTAAAGTGACACAGAGCTAGTCCACTAGAACATTATACAAGATGCAGAACTAAACTGACACAGAGCTAGTCCACTTGAACATTATACAACCCGCAGAACTAAACTGACACAGAGCTAGTCCACTGGAACATTATACAAGATGCAGAACTAAACTGACACAGAGCTAGTCCACTGGAACATTATACAAGATGCAGAACTAAACTGACACAGAGCTAGTCCACTGGAACATTATACAACCCGCAGAACTAAACTGACACAGAGCTAGTCCACTGGAACATTATACAAGATGCAGAACTAAACTGACACAGAGCTAGTCCACTGGAACATTATACAAGATGCAGAACTAAACTGACACATATCTCGTCCACTGGAACATTATACAAGATGCAGAACTAAACTGACACAGAGCTAGTCCACTGGAACATTATACAAGATGCAGAACTAAACTGACACAGAGCTAGTCCACTGGAACATTATACAAGATGCAGAACTAAACTGACACAGAGCTAGTCCACTGGAACATTATACAACCCGCAGAACTAAACTGACACAGAGCTAGTCGACTGGAACATTATACAACATACAGGACTAAACTGACACAGAGCTAGTCCACTGGAACATTATACAACATACAGGACTAAAGTGACACAGAGCTAGTCCACTAGAACACTATACAAGATGCAGAACTAAACTGACACAGAGCTAGTCCTACATGCGACACCAGGCTCGCTGACTTGGTTGATGCATGTTATACATCCCAATTGCGTGGATCAATGCTCATGATATCAATCACTGGATTGTCTGGTCCTCATATGGATGCAGAGGCAGTCGGGTAGTATTGCGGTTAAAGCGTTCGCTCGTCACGCCGAAGACCCGGGTTCGATTCCCAACATGGGTACAATGTGTGAAGCCCATTTCTGGTGTCCCCCGCCGTGATATTGCTGGAATATTGCCAAACTCACTCACTCACTCACTCATGGATGCAAATAGAACAGTCTTAAGTAACAATGTGGATAGGAGAAACATACAATGTGGATAGGGGAAACATACAATGTGGATAGGGGAAACATACAATGTGGATAGGAGAAACATACAATGTGGATAGGAGAAACATACAATGTGGATAGGAGAAACATACAATGTGGGTAGGAGAAACATACAATGTGGGTAGGAGAAACATACAATGTGGATAGGGGAACATTCAATGAGGGTAGGAGAAACATACAATGTGGGTAGGAGAGAGTAGAAGGCGGTACATGGCCTATGTCGAAGAACTGCATCGAGTCGGTTATAATTAAAATCAAAAATTTGTTAAAACATTGTTGTAAATTAATGACATTAAAGCAACCAACACGATTTTTTCTGAATGACCTAATTCTGGTCACGGGATCTCAGTTAACTACGGCCTTGAATAGCCTTGGCGTCTTGACGCCTTGACGCCTCAACCCCTCAACGCCTCAACGCCTCGGGTGGTCACGGACTGTTAGCCAATGGCAAAACAGAAACTAGGAACGGACACTCTTTTCTGACGAAAGTCGATTCCAGCTCCTGTCCTGATGGCAGAGTTCGTATTCACTTCGACCATGAGAGCGAAGGTCACGTTGTTGCATTTAGGAGGTCGTGCCATTCGTCGGTGGTACAGTAGCGTCGTGGGTCGGGGAGGTATCTGTGGACAGCAGACGATGGATCTCGTAATTTGTCAAGGCCAATCTCACCCCACAATGCATGAGGTAATTTGCCCAGGTTTTCACCCGTACCTGCAACAAAGCCCTCGGATCATCTTCCATCAGGACAATCCCGACCACACACAGCGCGAATCTGTGAACTATCTCAACGCCAACAATGTGAAGGTTTGTGCCCGATCACCTGGCATGTCTCCAGTTGAACATGCGTGAGGTGATTTGGGACGTACAATTACAGCAGGACAGGTACCTGTGATGTCCAGACAAGGTTTACTGGAAGCTCTAGCAGAGGATTGGCGCCGCATTCCACCTCAAGTCATTCGACGTCTGACGAACTCCGCACGTGGTCGAGTGAGAGCCTTGATCCCCGTGGTGGGCACACGCGATATTGACAAAGTTTGTGACCATCATGTCACCTTGTCTGGCCTTAAACCGTTTACTAAATGAATTGTTAAATGATAGAATACCGGACAACTTACCCCACCCTCGTGATTTCCCCATATACGCTTTATTTTATCATTTACTATTGATTAATGTCTTATGTTCATGCAAAATGATGTATTTTGTGCCATTTCTCAACTGTCTTGTCTCCTCTGGCAATGATCGTCATATCGTGCTTCGTATAGTTCCATTTGCCCGCCTGTTTAGTTCGAATGAAAACGTGTGAAACTTGAAAAACTAAAAAAAGGTGGAAATCGGTTCCCTGTCCCTGTGGACCACAGTAGTTTTTGGTGCTACAGGTAAATAGCAGGTGTATCATAGATTGTGAATGACTCACTTCTCTGACAGATCCACATATTTAACGCATCGAAGTAAAGATGTTAATTTTAATAGTAGTTCTTGGCCCGCCGTACTGTTATTCCAAATCTAATCAAAATCTAATCGAATAATTGTAAGATGAAAGAGCTATGTAATGTCTGGAGGCTATTTCTCTGAATGCGATATTTCAAGCTTTGTGAACAGTTGATCACTGGACTCACTTGGTATAGAGTCACTGATAGTGATGAGCGTTTGCCGCTGACCATGACGGTATCCGATATCGGTATGAGAGGTGAATACCTACCTGGTATTTTAGAAGATTTGCTGTATATACTATTACCTACTTATTACTAAACAACACATTTACCGCATTGTCCCTTTGGATTCAGGAGGTTGCGGTAGCCTAGTGGTTAAAGCCTTCGACGTCACGTCGAGGATCCGGGTTCGATTCCCCATATGGGTACAATGTGTGAAGCCCATTTCTGGTCCCCCGCCGTGTTGCTAAAGGCGGTGTGAAACCATACTCACTCACTCACTCCCCTTTGAGGTCACATGTTCCATTGATTTGCAGTCTTTACAATCTGTTTACGTCAGTGACGTGTTTGACTGTATAACATGACCGGAAAATATACCAGAACAGGAAATGACAGTCATCATTTAGATACAGCAGGAGGCAGTGGTTATATACGCTGCTAATAGCCATCTTCAATTACCCAGGGAGTTATAGCTTACCCAGGGAATTATAGCTCAGCTCTACTATGCTAAATATCCCCGGCCCATCGGACACCACGGCTTGGCTTTGAGCACGATTCAAATGACACGAGGCTAAAAATAGCTGTGCAATATTACTCTCGTCGCCTCCCGTGGTAAGTCAGTACTAGGCCAGATGGGGAGGTGACGTCACCCCGTCACCCCGCTGTGGTGGTGTGCGCGGGTGTTAATGACAATCCCGTGGAGCATTACACAGTGTAGAAATACATGCATGAATAATACCAGTGCCGACCGCGAGGAAGAGAAGAAATATGTCACTACTGGTCTCTATGATACACTGGAACATTGCTCGCGTGTATGTTATGAACGTTATCTGACACAGCGTGACAATATCATAAACAATGGCTGGGAAGGACATTGTCCACGTGCAGCGTTGTATGGCGAGGTGCTGTCTGTTCCGTCAATCAGTGCTTGTCTGACCAAAGCTCGCATTAATTACTTCTTGCTAAGACAACATTCCACATCCGGGGTTCCGGGGGCCCATGTCAGAAATATTGTATTTCTCCTGTACGCGTGATTACCGCTATCTGTGTTCATGTTTGTCGAGTTGTTAGCTCACCTTCTCCGCTTGTTAGCACCAATCTCAAAATATCGTCTACTGCAAAACTAGCCAGTGAATATCCCCAAACTAAGAAATATTAAAATGGCCACCAAGAACGGCACATTAATTAAGGACTGCCTTGACATCCCGTTCTTCTCCATTGTATGCAAAGATTTCAAGTCGGCTTCCTGCGTCAAATCAGTATTGCATTGGAGTATGTGGCAATTAATCTTGAACTCAGGCATATAGGTATGATTCCGACATTGTTGGTCAAGGATAAGAATAAGATTACAATCAGCTTATGATCACAATAACTTTGGAGTACAATGATATGCTGATACGCATGTTCTACATATGTGCCGGGACATGGAAATAAATTATTATTAAGTTCTATTTCTCTATTGTATTTGTATTGTCTACGATTTCTCCATAAATACTGTATATGAGTTGGGAGTTGTCATAATTTCTCCGTTCTCCCGTCGTCTAGGGCGCCGTGATTCGCTGTGCAGAGCTGCGTCCCTTGGGCACGCCAGAAACCTATTATTGTGGGTTTGAATCCCGGTTCGCCCCCATTTTGTTTCTAGGTTTGTCAGCACCATTCCCGTGCTCGTGGGTTTCACCGAAGCGGTTAACGTCCCTAGACCTGCATCACTTCGGGCTTTCCTCCCACATTAAGCTGACACGCCGCGATATAACTTTAATACTGTTTAAAGCGGCGTTAAACCCAACTCACTCACTCACTCATTTACATATGTGCCAACACCCACGTATAGATCAGCAAATGTGTTAGACATTTCACGAGAGGTCGTATAGCGGGGCCGTTTGGGAGTGGATGTTGTGGATGCTTTCGAGGTATCAGTTCAACCAATTCGTTATTTGATGTTGAAAGTATTGATTTCTACCGCGCCGTTGATTCCTTACTGACCTCGGGTGGCCGTCGGGTCTAAGACGCCGCAATTTGATTTGCAAAGTTGCGTCCCTTGGGCTCGCCAGGAAACTATGATTGTTGGTTCGAATCCCGGTTCGTCCCGATAACGTTTATTGGTCTGTCAGCTCCATACCCGTGCTCGTGGGTTTAACCAAAGTGGTAAACGTCTGAGACCTGCATGACTGCGGGCTTTCCTCCTACATCAAGCTGACACACTGTGATATAACTGGAATACTGTTAAAAGCGGCCTTTAAACCCAACTCACTCAGTTGACACCGACATAACTGTATTTGCTTTTGTGGCAACAAAATGTGGTAAATCAAGATCGCAAATAAATATCTTTATCTGACATGGCATTGTCACCTTATACTGACACCGCTTGTGCTTTGCCACGTGAATACTGCTTGTGCTTTGCCACGTGTTACTGACACCGCTTGCGCTTTACCGCGTGTAACCAATACTGCTTGCGCTTTGACGCCTGTTACTGACACCGTCTATCAGTTGCCCGGGTTTTATGCTTTTCTGTCACACACACACACACACACACACACACACACACACTGATGGAAAAGAATAAGGCTACACTATGTTTTAAACACAGTGAAATGATATGCGTTTACGCGTTTCCAACCTTGTCTACCAAATGCATTGTTCCCATATTCGTGTCCTTCAGTATAAAATGTATGATAACTACTGTGCTGTACATATACATATACTGTCGAGTAAAAGAAAGTGTAAACTTGAAATTTGGATTTGACCAAAACATTATAAACGTTATCAAAACATTACTAAGCTGAACATAGTCTCCGATACACAGCAAACTTAAGGTTCAAAACCAACCACATGTATGATACCGCTATTTCATAAATCACCATCGGATCACCATTTCTTGTTTGTTCCACTTTTAGCCACCAACAAACATGGGCGTGTACTCTATTTCACTTTTAGCCACCAACAAACATGGGCGTGTACTCTATTTCACTTTTAGCCACCAACAAACATGGGCGTGTACTCTATTTCACTTGGCAGTTTATTAATGCAATAAAGGACATTCGAGTTGTGTAATGTTTCTATGTGTAATTCAAGTCAATTTCATCAACGTTCTCATCTAAATCAGATCTTATACTGTTATCTTATCTTATCTTATTGGATTCTTCTCTCAGCAAGCCTTTTATTTGCTTTGATGGTCACGTGGGTGGGGTCTCGAAGTACCTGAACTAAAATAGACCAAGTAATGGGAAAGTGAGTGTGTGTATCGACAGGCCAAGTGAAGTTGCTCGTTTAAGACAGACCGGATACCAAATCTTCTCTTTGTATTGAAACTCAGAAAATCAGAATTATATCTAAATGTTTACACATATTGGAAAAGTACAAGATATAGACAATGGGAAATTAAAAATTAAAATCGAGGGTCTGATTATCATTTTCAAATTGTGACGAAAATAGCTCAAGATGTGATTAAACCTCTTGTCCTAATAGTCTTAATAGTACCAGGTAGATGTGTATATATGTTGACTGCACTAACGTGACACATAAGGACCCAGTCAGGAACAGTGAACTGACGCGCAGCTGAGCAGTAGTGATCAAACTTCTCGATATTTAGTTACTTGTTCAGTTTTAGTTTTATTTAAACCTTGAAATGCATGACATTTCTTGGAAAGTTTGACGCAATAATGAGAAAGATTTCCGAGAAGGCCATGTATGGGTGCATTTAAATCTTTTTAACCATCTGTTTATAACATGTCATATTAATTTCTTCAACTAGATCTTATATAATTAGTTGTTCAGTTATATTTTTTATAAAGTTTATCGCAATAATGAGAAAGAGAATTCGGCCTGAATAGGCTACTGCGATCATCGCAGACAATTGTTGATCAAATTCAGTATGTAAGGGAGGTAATCGGATAGTAATCAAATACATGGTTTAAGATGTAAAACAGTAAATGAACTGAAAAAAATATCGTTTATATTGTTGAAACATGACTGAGTTGATTAAATATATTGGGGGGGGGGGGGGGGGGGGTAATTGTATTCTAAATATGATTTGACGAACTGAGTGTTTGCCGCCGTGTTGGTGCATGCATGTTATGGGTGCACTACCAACAATCTAATACTGAGTTCTGAACATTTGGAGTGACGTCCCTTTTTCTAATAGATGGCGCTGCCTACCTACGACCCGGCAGTTTTGAAAAGCGGTCAGAACAAGTTCGTTGTATTTATTTTCAGTTTGTCATCATCATGGCAAACATCAGTCTTGAAATCGACGACTACTTTATGCATTTAGAAGAAAAACGACTTAACAGTTTCCAGAACTGGCCATATGAAGCAGAACACGAATGTACAGCTGCAAAGGTATGCAATTTAGGCCAAGTCGACATTGTTTTTTTGCGTTTTTAGCTGTTTTCCATTTCACGCTGGAATGGAAAATGCCGATTATCAGATTGTGCCCTCAGATTTTACCAACATTTCTGCCATCCCTCTGCCGTCTCCATATACTTTCTTAATGTATGTAGGGTACTAACTTCAAATGGCTTAAAGAAGACCCTCCTTCACAATACATACAGTGACATAAGTAATTGATCAAATGTAAAACTTAAAAAGGAATGTTTGAACTTAGTAACAGCATCACTTCAGTCTTGGCGTTCCATTATTCCACAAAGTAACGTTTCACTGTGTCCCTATATAGAAATATAAAGCACATTTGACTTGTAATTGACAATGACAGTTAGAACTGAGAGGCCTTGAATTTGAAGTTGCTATCGCCAGTAATGTGCATACCAAGAGAAAGTGAGGATAGGGCCTACAATTTATTTTTTTCTAAAGAATTCAGTGGCTGTGTTGCTGCTTTTGTACATTTAGTTGATTAGTTATAGGAGATATGCTTCTGACTGGGACATCTGACATTAACAAAACATGCCAAAAACATTGGTCGTCATGTTGACATAAGTGTGCACTGTCTACATTTCCCCATCTCTTGTCAGAATTCCCCTGATTGAGCCCTTACAGTGTTTTGTTTGTCAATAACCAGTATTTCCTCTCTAGATGACACATTTCCTTATTTAATTCATGTTCAGACAATTTCCCAAGATGTGTGAAGGCCAAGTAATGATAGAACTCAGTGTAGCATGAAGAATGGCTGACTGGACTGACTGATGATGCTTGTTGTAGCTGGCTGCTGCCGGCTGGTATCACATCCCCACTGACCAGGAGCCGGATGCTGTACGCTGCTTTGTCTGCCTTAAGGAATTGGACGGATGGGAGCCTAATGATGATCCATGGTAACTGTTTATACTGGTTCTTTAACTTCACATGAATTTGAATTAATAGATTTAGATTACATAAGGCATACATCAGTTAACAACCTACAGCAAAAGTATTGAGTATGTTTAACAAGTTAAAAAATAATGTCTGCGGCACACTATCAAAAAGGCCCTTATTATTCACACCCTTCTGTGTTAAAGACACATTGCCATAACATGATCTACTGTAACACTATTGGTGGCACACGGTCATGTGTACAGCGCACAGGTCACAAACAGAGCTACAGATAAGCTGTGTATTTGCGTAAAATCCCCCCCCCCCCCAAAAAAAAACAATTAAAAAATATTACTTTCAATTAATTTGCGAACAGAAACGCATGCAGTATATGAAAAACTCAAATGTATGAAAACAGCATGCGTAAATACCCAATGAAGCTTTTTGAGCATGCGTATAATGGAGCTAATTTCCGAAACACAATTACGAGGTAAGCCTATAGTTAGAACCCTTATATACATCTGAAACATTATTTTATTGTTTTTGAAATCTCAAAATGTTTACTAATTATTTTGGAAAAACCCAATAGAGTGATGAAAAGATGAGTGAAAAAATATTGGTTACCTAATGAAAAATGTAATAACCAAATTAAAATAGAAACCTTTGAGTAAAAACTCAATCGCTCAAAATATTATCTGGAGCTTTGCACAAATCAGGCAAGGTAAAGCAACATTTATCCATGGCAAGTGACTTTGTTTGTAAGATCTGTCTTTTCAACAACCTTCTAGCGTATCACAGGGATCTTGGGTTGTATACTCCCTTGGGTGCTGAGAATGAAATTGAGTGCACAGTAATCCATTGAAAAGGATAAGAAGGGTGTAGCACTTTGAGTATGCCTCTGTGTGGTGTGGAAATATAGAGCAATTTAAATGGCCTATAATCCTTATTGCACACCACACCAATACTAGAACTCCAGGTGCCTGCTCTATGTGCTATTACTTTTCAGTCAAAATCTAAGTGTCACTATGTGTTATCGTGGTTATGCAGCAAGGAACAGACCGTGGATTGAGCGTTGGCCCTGAGAGTAGAAGGTTGGTGGCTTGATGCCTGTCCAAAAATTAAATTGTGGTGCTTGTTGTTACCCTGCCTGGTGCTTGGTATTAACTAATTAAGTTTGTATATTGTGTCTGAGAGGGGTATCCTCATTAAACAGTGATGTGGCATCTCGGTTGGCTAGAGCATTATGAAACTGGCAATTATGCGGGCTAGTACAAGCAGCCACACACGCAAGTCGCTGTTATAAGTACAATAACTTTGAATGCAACATTAAAGCCCATTTCATCTCACACCAGGATGGAACATATGAAGCACTCCCCCCAGTGTCCATTCCTCAAGCTGCCCAAGACCACTGGCGAGATGACAGTGGAACAGTTGCTCAACCTCGAGATAAAGAGATGGTCGCTCAAAACGGTAGACTCACGAGGCTATTTCTTGGCTACACTAGAGATTATTTGAAAGATTAGATTGTCATTACACTCTGTGAGCAGAACAGAAACATCAATCTATACTACTATTAAACATTTGACTGAGAGAATTCTGTTATTTATTCATATGGAGAAATGTCCTATCAAACATTTAGAAAAATACTTGCATATCTCCTACATATGCTCTTGTCAGATTACCTGCAAACCTTCAAATGACAGGTGTTGTCTACTAAACCTGTGTAATTATGTACTGCTTTGTTTCTGCAGCGAAAGATCTTGGATGCGAGGATTGAGGAATACAAGATCCAAGCTGATGCTGTCCGAGATGCCATGAAGAATCTGGTGGATAACTGACATAACGCCCCTCTGTGCAGGACATTATACTGTACACTTGTTCCTAGGGAAAGACTTGCTCCTCGTGTATCACATGCCTGATTTCATCCTTCCTCTTGAACCAACCTTTCACCAACGACACGTCAACATCTTCGTCTCATGCATCACACAAACACACCATCATCATTACTCTTGCATTGTCACAACTACCTGATGTGGAGATGGATCACTCCTGGGTGTGTGCTGTGTGTGACTGACAGGCAGAACACATGACTGTATTTAGGATTCATGGACTTTGTAGGAACTGCTATGTGTTGTATAGCTAGTAAGCCGATGTATATAATAAAAGTCAACATACATGATAAAGCATGCGTTTGTGTCAATCTATGTTGATATTTGTACTTCTATTTCTCACTGGGAAGGATAGGGCCGCATACCAGTACCATACCAAATTAAAAGGGGATCACATGCCACTCAACACACCAAATGGGGATCTCATGCAACTCAACAGACCAAATGGGGATCACGTGCAACTAAACGTACCAAATGGGGATCACATGCAACTCAACAAACCAAATGGGGATCATGTGCAACTCAACACACCAAATGGGGATCATGTGCAACTCAACATACCAAATGGAGATCATGTGCAACTCAACATACCAAATGGGGGTAACGCGCAACTCAACAGACCAAATGGAGATCATGTGCAACTCAACATACCAAATGGGGATCATGTGCAACTCAACCTACCAAATGGGGATCATGTGCAACTCAACATACCAAATGGGGATCATGTGCAACTCAACACACCAAATGGGGATCATGTGCAACTCAACATACCAAATGGGGATCATGTGCAACTCAACATACCAAATGGGGATCATGTGCAACTCAACATACCAAATGGGGATCATGTGCAACTCAACACACCAAATGGGGGTAACGGGCAACTCAACCTACCAAATGGGGATCATGTGCAACTCAACACACTAAATGGGGATCATGTGCAACTCAACATACCAAGTGGGGGTAACGCGCAACTCAACATACCAAATGGGGATCATGTGCAACTCAACTTACCAAATGGGGATCATGTGCAACTCAACACACCAAATGGGGATCACATGCAGCTCAACATACCAAATGGGGATAACGCGCAACTCAACATACCAAATGGGGGTAACTCGCAACTCAAGTATGAATATATTTATCTACAAACTGTATGCCATGTGATACAAGTATGGATTACAAAAGCATATTTTAAGTTGAAAAGTAAGTGCCATATTTCTCATTCTCTTTACATTTGTCACATAAGTGCCAGTTAGTTTCTTACTATCTGTACACTGTAAGTATCTCAGTATTATCAAGAGACAGGGAGGGAAACACTGCCCTTATATTTTTATATTGTTTATGGGCACGGGTGGCCCAGTCGTCTGAGGCGTGATTCAATGTGCAGAGTTGTGTCCCTTCAGCACGCCAAAAACCTATGATTGTGAGTTTTCGAATCTCGGTTCGGCCAGATTATGTTTCTAGATTTGTCAGCACATAGTAGTTACATCTTAATTTCGTAATGATTTGAGCTGACAATAACAATGAAAACTTTTTGACCATAAAAGTTTGAAAACTTATTGACCATAAAAGTTTGAAAACTTATTGACCATATAGTATCAATTCTGATTCAAGCAGTCATGTAATGTTTCATGAGAGACATAAATATGCTCACACAGCCAGTATCCTGACTAATCCACAACACTCCAAAACCAGACTGGAATAGACAATGTCCAACACCAGATGCCCATGTTCTAGCTTTGTCAGGTGTAATACAAGTTTGATAGGATAATCTAGGGATGTGTAAATGTAACATTCTACGACCGTATATTTCTACAGTATTACAGTATAGTATTGGGGTAAGGATACTGTGAAATATTTTAAGTCTGTACAAGAGAAAAAAACATTTGGGCTTGATGACGGCACATTGATAAAGCTGTATTTTCAGATGGGCAACTCGGTGCTTTTGACCATGACTCCTGTGGAGTAAACACCCAATGGTAACTGAGTTTACTACATCCGCTGTATGTCACCTGAAATATCACTTGTCATAGTGACAAAGCCAGCCTCCTATGTAAACACCCATGACTTTAGTTTTGTTTTAAGTTTTTAATGCCTGCGTTATCAGAAAACTGTTTGGTGTGTTTAATAGGAAACAGGACAGCTTTAATTTTTTACTGGAATTTGACTGCAGCTTGTGATTTTTCTAATAACAACTACTTCTTCCAAATGCCCCTGGGGATTTCTTTTGGCGCCTCATGAAAGGTCAAGGTGTAGATTAGTCAATGGTCAAGGTCAGAATTTAGCTTTTTGTAAACCATGACCATATCATTGTCAGTTTCTGATTCATGGTTGCCATTGCAGGCATGGACCACATCTTTGCTCGTCTTAGCTGTGTTTTGTAGAGAGAAATAGCTCACCTTGCACACTTTAATGTGAGTGCTAGTACGGATACCATAAATCTCATACCTGTCAAATCTCTCACACAATGTCACAGTAATCTCAGGCTTATTCGCTCAAAACAACTTTTAAAAACATTGTGCTTTTATTTTATGCTGAGTTGCCTTACCTCACATAAGTCCTCACATTACCTTCACTTTAAATGTTACAATCAATGTTTATCATCAGGCTGTATTTAGACGGGTTCACTCAGGCAGTGTACATATAGCCTGATCATAGACATTGAGTGTAACATACATCACCACTGGTGCTTCACTTGTCATTAGTTCTACATCTCTGTGTTAAGACAATTTACTACGAAATAAAATTTCACCCCAAGGTCTCCAAAATACTGGGCAAAAACGTTTTCGGATGGGGTAATTCGCGCTTGACCCTGGCTAATATGTACATCTCACTCATTGAACAGATTTGGGGTTGGCAGCTATGAAGTCTAAACACACCAAACATCTCTCATTGACAAGGTTTGATTGTGAATGTGTTCTGAGTCTCCCCAGGGACAAGACATCTTCACACTGAAGTATGTTGCAATGTATCAAATCTTACACTTTCTTGTCTGTTATGACAGTAAAGACAAGATATTATGTGGATGACAACTTCTTTTAAATTATTGTGATGCGCCGTTTGGGTATAGTTCCTTATACCGTTTTCAAGTCACTCTTGCTTGATCTATACCAAAACATTGCATCATATAATAGACTGAAGAAGTTCCAATCCATATATCTTGTCTCAACTGTTACTTAACTTCTAAAGGATGCCAATCAAACAGTTTAGTCTATAAATGCACATGACTTCAGTATGTTGGGATTTCATGAATATATTTCCTATAGAATAGTCTGGATATTTCATACATCCTGTCCTGTAGAGGAGCCATATAATATAGTCTAGATATTTCATACATCCTGTCCTGTAGAGGAGCCATATAATATAGTCTGCATATTTCATACATCCTGTCCTGTAGAGGAGCCATATAATAGTCTAGATATTTCATACATCCTGTCCTGTAGAGGAGCCATATAATATAGTCTGCATATTTCATACATCCTGTCCTGTAGAGGAGCCATATAATATAGTCTAGATATTTCATACATCCTGTCCTGTAGAGGAGCTGTGGCGTATTGTGTGGATATTTCATACATCCTGTCCTATAGACATGATAGAGCCGTGGCATATTGTCTGGATATTTCATATATCCTGTCCTATAGAGGAGCTGTGGCGTATTGTCTGGATATTTCATCTTTATCATATAATGGGCAGGTTTCTCGGCAGGATAAAGCCAACGGATAAAAACGATATCCGTTGGGGATATATGCGGATAGAGATGCAAATATCAAAGGTCAAGTAGGACTACTTTCACTGTTTATAAACAAACATGGCGTCGTCCTCGTCATTCATACAAAATTAACCATCAGGAATCTGGATAAACAACAGGGATAATTGCTATCATTATGAAAAGAACAGTCTAATATATTGAAAATCAGTGTCTAACTGTGATGTAGCTAAGGCATTTTATAAGTTTTGGCTACTTTGGAGGTATAAATTTCGAAACAATTTTGCGAGGGCGCGAGGCCTAGCCAAGCGGGATCAGTAGCCATATCTGTGCTTGTAGACCTCTGCGACTTGAAACCTTCTCTACAAATTAAAATAGTTGGATATGGCCGAAATATGTTTGAATTGTTACCTTGTTTGGTTTTGTCGCTGTGTGTACATCTGACAACACTTCTTAACCTTATGACAGGACAGACCGACTGTCAACAACGTCTGACCGTGCCCGTGACGTCTCATAGACTAGGGTTAGAGTAGCTTCCCTTTGACAAAGGGCAGTTACTCTAGCGGACAGACCGATGGATTGCCGCGAAAGGCAATTAAAAACAACTGTTGTTTTGCGTATATGTTGCTTCGCCACTGTATAAGAAAGAGATTTCAGTTGGAACTATATTGGCTACTGTCACTGTCCGACTGACACATCACTTACCCTGTGACGTAATAAATATTAATACGCGCATTCCAGGCAAACTCGCAATGTTTCGGTAATGTTTGTAAGAGAGGGATAGCGATTTTAAAGCACAGAATTAAAGCATGACATTATATGATAAAGAGGTTATCACGCTTGTGTGTTTGGGGATGGCAAATATCCTGTATTAGGAATAAACACTATGTATTTAGCTCGCCAAGGCTTGCTAAATACAATGTTTATTCCTAATGCAGGATATTTACCATCCCCTAACACACTCGCGTGATAACCTCTATATCCTGTCCTATAGAGGAGCTGTGGCTAATGTCTGGATATTTCATACATCCTGTCCTATAGAGGAGCTGTGGCTAATGTCTGGATATTTCATACATCCTGTCCTATAGAGGAGCCGTGGCGTATTGTCTGGATATTTCATATATCCTGTCCTGTAGAGGAGCCGTGGCGTATTGTCTGGATATTTCATACATCCTGTCCTATAGAGGAGCTGTGGCGTATTGTCTGGATATTTCATACATCCTGTCCTGTAGAGGAGCCGTGGCGTATTGTCTGGATATTTCATACATCCTGTCCTATAGAGGAGCTGTGGCGTATTGTCTGGATATTTCATACATCCTGTCCTGTAGAGGAGCCGTGGCGTATTGTCTGGATATTTCATATATCCTGTCCTGTAGAGGAGCCGTGGCGTATTGTCTGGATATTTCATACATCCTGTCCTATAGAGGAGCTGTGGCTAATGTCTGGATATTTCATACATCCTGTCCTATAGAGGAGCCGTGGCGTATTGTCTGGATATTTCATATATCCTGTCCTGTAGAGGAGCCGTGGCGTATTGTCTGGATATTTCATACATCCTGTCCTATAGAGGAGCTGTGGCGTATTGTCTGGATATTTCATATATCCTGTCCTTGTTCAGCACAGTGAAGTCCCAAATGGACAGAAACAATTGCTCCATGTTTACCTGGAGCAACCACTCCAATCATTCCATGTGCAACACCCAGCTGTTACATCATATAAATAAAATACAGCAATGATGTTTTTTATATAAAATGTTTATTAAAATAGTGTACAGATTTATAAAAAAAAATCTAATATTGATTTGGAATGTTATATGTTACAACACTAAATCATCCCTGCTTCCTTTGCGGCAGATAATGTATGGTAAAACCTTTTCCAAAATAGGTTAGAAATCAGCAAGAGACCCTATGGAATGTTATGTATGTACATGTATTGCCATCATCGTCTGAAGGGAACCGTATAATCATGGACAGACAGTTAAAATGATACATTTACAATTATGGACATCAATCATGATTATGAAGATAAAAATATGAAAATGTGTTTTGACATACAGGACGTCTATAGATTTTATGTATGTCGTTAATGATTATTTCTTAAGACCTTGAAAATAAAAAAAATGCTGATGTATTTCTACAAACTACTTAATATAAACAAGCTTCCAAAAGATGTTCTAAATGATTTTACAATCAGATATCTCCAATGTTGTGCAGGGACTACATGCCGCTATATTTGCACATATATGCAAGGCTGGAGAAATACATCACACAGACATGATCTTGTTAGCATTATGTATTTGATCAGATTTGCTGCGAATGGCTGTAACACAGCAGATGCTGCATGAAACAGTACTCCCTCATGTGTGAGCGTCAGCACCACTGGAGTTCACTTAAAAATCAACAAAGCTCACTGCTTGGAAGGTCCCCCACTAAAGTTTATTATGAGGATGCCCTTCAAGCCAAGGATGGGTATTTGTAATAGCACTTGGGGAGAAATCATACATCAGGTAACTCGCAATGGAATTAAATTCACATACAAATCAAATGTGTGTTTCCTAGTTGCTACAGATCTGGCTCGGGGTGGACAAGGTCTTTGGCGACAGGTCAAGGTCATCTATAACTCTGACTCGTCATCAGCGGGCTTCCCAAAGTCAGCATCCAAAACAATTTTACTGAAAGACAGAAAGGAAGCCATGAAGAGACATGTTGACCCAAAGTGTACAGTATATTACAGTATGACTCATGGTAGTGAGTTACACAAGACTCGACCCAAAGTGTACAGTATATTACAGTATGACTCATGGTAGAGAGTTACACAAGACTCGACCCAAAGTGTACAGTATTTTACAGTTTGACTCATAGTAGTGAGTTACACCAGACTCGTTCAGGCCGACAGAATTGGGTGCCACTGCAGTGAAGCAATGACTTAAACATTCCATAAGTTGTAGGCTGACAATGTGTACATCTCAATTACGACATTTCAGTAGAAGACAGCACACTGTATACCACTGAACTTTTGACAGTGCGACATTCATACTACATGTTACGAACATGTCAATTAGAACTCATGTATTTTAATCATCATTCCGAAAATGTGTCAGTTCTGTGTCACCACTATTCATGAAAACATGTCCCAGCAAGCGACACTCCGTCCTTTCCCACAATACTAGGAACATACCTATAGTACAAATCTGCTGTATCAGCTTGTTTCAAACTAGGGCAACACAGGGCCAGCATACTGTTTAAAAAACACCTGTCCACACGTTGGATATTCCTTATTTAGTAATTGTCACGCTAATGCACTAGACATACCGCGCACAATGTAGTATACAAAGTTCGGACTTGTATCATCTTTAGTTTCAAGCACATGGGACATGCAAGTTGATGACTACCCACCTGTCCTTAGAGGTATCTGTGACATGGAGCCTTGGTGCTCCCCGTGCCGCCCTCCGCCCGCCCTGAGATGATGTTCTTTGCTCACTGTTGTCTGGTGGTGGTCGCACTTTCTCATCTCCTCTCATGCGGTCATCTGGTGGTGGTCGCCTTTTCTCGTAGTCTCCTCTCTCGCGGTCATCTGGGGGTGGTCGCCTTTTCTCGTAGTCTCCTCTCTCGCGGTCATCTGGGGGTGGTCGTCTTTTCTCATAGTCTCCTTTCTCACGATTCTCTGGCGGAGGTCGCCTTTTCTCACCTCTATCTCTCTCATCTCTGGGAGGTCTGCGATGGTCATCTCGTCTGGAATATAATGTACTCAGTTAGGAGATAAACTTGGTATTTGAAGTTGCCTATCAGCATGAACGGCCAGATTTGAGAAATACAAATGTGTGTTTTCAATTAGATATTTGATACATCTAACAAGATGTGATTTGATACCTCTGATCAGACTATGCCTCCATAAGTGGGATGTCAGGTGAATCCGAGCAAACTTTTCAGTGAATTCTGAGCCAATCTGACGCCAGTCCACATGATCTGTTGTCAGTTGCAGTTTTTCTGTTTTGTAACTTTTTTACCTCTGTTTCTGATTCGAAAAACCCATCCAAACATCTAATGTTCCCTCTAACATGAACCTTTGTGGGTCTAGAGCACCATGGCAGTCAGAAATGACAAGTTGGTAGGAATCCACAAGTAGCACTATTACCATTCTCCATTCCGAAGTCACGTTTGTTTTCAAAATTCAGAAATCTGATATGATATTCATTTGCTTGTAGCAAGAAATAAGAGGCCCTATGCTGGTTAGAAAGTTCACTTGATGCAACCTCTGTTGGAGGGTTTGTGAGATCTTGACAGGGATACATTGATATTAAGAAAAAGATCTCATTTTAATAAGGTTGACGGTTTCAGAACTGTGACTGCTTTTGATGATGTTAAATATTTAAGACATGTTATTCAATAACAGAAAAATGCTGAAAGTTTGTGATTTTCAGTTGAACAAATATTGTAAGATGCCAGCAAAACCCACCTGTCGTCTGGGTGCCTCTTTCTCTCACGGTCATCATGGCGTCTTCTGTCATCACGATCCCTGTCCCTGTGGCGGTCATCATGGCGTCTCCGGTCATCATCATGGTGTCGCCTGTCTCTGCCGTCCCGCTGATGACGATCCTCATGACCATTGTGATTGTAGCCTCGGTTCTCATGACCCTGCTTGCGTTCCCGCTGTTCAAACAAATAGACGTGAACAGTGAAAAGGGCTATATCATGAGTGGTGATCAATATCATGCACTGCGATCTATATCATGAACAGGGCTATATCTTGCACAGTGATCTGTATCATGAACAGGGATCTATATCATGCACGGTGATCCATATCACACATGGGGCTCTATATCTTGCACAGTGATCTATATCACACATGGGGTTCTATATCATGCACGGTGATCTATATCACGCAGGAGGCTCTATATCATGCACGGGGCTATAGCATGCATGGTGATCTGTATCATGAACAGGGCTCTACATCATGCATGGAGCTCTATATCATGATCCTATCCAGTAGGTATAATACTCTGCTGTGATACACTGGCATATGGCCGACTGCAGCTTCCACCCAGCCGTCCAGCTGCTCACTTACCCCGTGAGAGGAGAAGGCCTCGGATCTGGGCATGACTGTTCTGTGTGGGGTGGTGCCAGTCTTCAGGTCCGACCTGAACAAAGATGGTGATAACAACTTGGTTACAATAAAACTCAAGAACATAGCAGGTTAATGTGCAAAAGTTCATTCGTGACAATTTTCATACTTTGCAAATTCCAGCGGAAGAAATATTTTTTGTCCACTTGTCCTTATAATGACAACATACAGCAAAACCTTAAAAATGGCAAATTTCTACTAGTCCTTATGATACCTTAACTATTGGGCAGTTTGAAAAGGACCAGAGCCAATTTCTAACACTGAATTCATGTAAGCTTTGCACATCGGTCTTATTGTTCATTGCTCAACCAACAGCTGATAAACATATTCTCACAACTAAATGAGTCAACACAAAGTTCATGGAGTGAGGTGAGGTGAAATTGGGTTTAACGTCGCGTCCAAGATTATTGCACTTATATAGCGACGTGCATGCACGTGTATGTGTGTGTGTGGCTGCTTGTACTAGTCCGGACTGATGCCGATTTATAGTGCTAGCTCACTGAGATACCATGCCGCAGTTTAACATGAATACCCCACTCAGACACAGTATACTGACTCCGAGCCGACCAGTCCTTGTTTTAGCCCCTTAATGCCGAGCGCCAGACAGGGTAACAACAAGTACAATCTTTTAACGTCTTTTTGTATGACGCGGCCCGGGATCGAACCCTGGACCTTCCGCTCTCCGGGCGGACGCTCTACCACAAGACCATGGAGGCGGTCCAAAGTTCATGGAAGGACTTATAAATAAAATAGAGTGACTTCTTGTTTTCTCACAAAATTCAGTCATTTTTTTTACATAAGCATGGAATATGTGTATCGCGATATGTATTGTATCGTTAACATGGTTACCTGTGTGTCTTTTCACCCTTATCAACGTGTCATGGTATATGTGTATCACGATATGTATCGTATCGTTAACATGGTTACCTGTGTGTCTTTTCCCCCTTATCAACGTGTCGTGGTATATGTGTATCACGATATGTATCGTATCGCTGCCTTGTATCGTGTCACCGCTCTCAACATGTGTAATGGTATACAAGGGTATGTGTATGAGGTCTTGACCTACTTGTGCTCCTGTTCATGGATGAGCGTGCTCTTGTGCACCACTGCGACGCCATAGTCACCGATTGGCCGGAACTGAAACAGAGACACAGAGTTTAACCACAATTGAATGAGTTCTCCACGCTTTATGAAACTATTTGACAAGCCTGGTACGTTTTGTCAGTAAGCTCAATGAAAGAACATAGATCCAGACTAAAATATACTAAAATAGAAACCAAAGCAGCGATAGGTTACTTTTGCAGAAATACATTTATCACTGGTTTTGTATAATACACACCCTCACAAGACATTTTGAGAAAGATAACATTTACATGTGTCCTTCTGGCACCAGGAACACAGTTTAATTGTGCTTTATTTATTACGTTAACTGTACACGTCATGCTAATACAAGGGAGTTCAAACCTTGCAAAGCAATGTGGTCGAGTTAGTAAACAGACTGCAGTCTATCGGGTGTACTTTGGATTTAATAATGTTGCTGTACTTGTTACCGCCTGACATGAAAATACTAGTTAACTGACTATTAAGTCCAGTTTCCATCCTTGCCGAACTAGGCTGGATGTATGGAGTAATATTTAGGTCAATCTCATTAAAATCAGATCTTAGTTCTCGCTATCGCTAAACAAAGATCTGAAGACATCCCATTAAGGGTCATGTCAGAATGACCTTTCATCCAACCAATCAGAGCGTCGCTTACAAGATCATGAAAGTGACAGTCGGAATGTGTTTTCTAATCATGCAACCACGAAATATTTAACACGGGGTATTCCGAACGACAGTTACAGGTTTTATGATTATATCCATACAATCTAGGCCATCTTTAAGTTTTTCCGAATATTCTTCGTATCAGTTTTAATTTTTTTACTCGAGAATACGTCAAAATATGTTTCAAAGCGTAGTTGCCAGTTTGAAACTAGTGTCATAAAGCTCAAGAAAACTGCCTTCTGATTGGCTAATGTCGATTTCTTGTCAGTCATTTCGTTGGTTGGTCAGTCAAAATTCGCGAAAGGTCATTCTGACGTGACCCATAATGGTATGTCCTCAGATCTTTGTATAGTAGCGAGAACTAAGATCTGATTTTAATGAGATTGTATTTAGGTAGGACAAACGAGGCCGTTGATGGTTTTACAGCGATATTCAAAGGAAACAGACATGAGGAAATACCTGTATACCTTGACAGGTGCGGTACTTACAAACAGTTCGCGTCTGTACTGATTGCTGCGTCTCTTGGCCGTGATGATCAGGTAGCAAGCTAGCGTCATCAATATAAGAAACAGGATGATGAAGAATGGTCCGACGAAAGCGTGCCACCAGTCCACCAAGTAGACATGGCGGTGTCTCAGTGTTATGACCAACACACCTGTGACGAGGGACGCCACGGAGAGCGCTATACACACCAGTCCCATCCGACACGGAAGCCAACCCGGGCCCAAACCAACGCCATTCAGCTCGTTATGGATCCGCGTCTGCAGGTACGCGTGGTACGCTACAATCGTATCCTTGTCAAGATCCTTCTCCTTCATGGCTGATTACAGGTGTGAGGTCATTAGAAAAGCTCACAAACTTTACACTTTTACAGGTATCAACAACTTCGATGTCTGCCGTTTATTATCAACTTTCAACCGTCATGCCCTAGCTTCCTCTTACCTGAGTCATCGCGCATGCGCAAATGAAAATACCTGACATTCTCATCTCCAGGTGGGGATTGTTTGAAAGTCTCACCTGAATTGGAAGAGTTATCTACCTTTGAACAAACTGGAAAATATTATTGAAAGCGTACGTAAAATATAGCTAACATGGCCGTACAATACAAGAACATCCGTTGACTGACACACCGCTAGTGGGAAAACACAACTTTCACGTGCACTATGTGCACAGATATGTATATAGTAGTCTCAAGGCATTATTATACTTGAGCAAACATTAATGACGGAAAGTCTTCATATAACATGCTTGCAAGTTATGACATAATTTTTAGAAATCCCCGACCGACTCTCCTGTCTCTCGAAATAACAACCCTGTTAAATGTTGCTATTCACAGCCTCCCTTGTGTTTGTTGATCACTGTAATAGGTCAACCCTTTTGGTTTTCAGTTGAAATTCTAAATGCTTGTCTATCACCACCGCCACCCACCACAGTTCCACACTCTATATGCTGTGGTACCGCCTACATCACTAACGCTACCCACTTTTGTCCTAAGTGCGTCCTCTCAACCCACTGAATATATTGGTTCCATTTCATAATTATGGACCCGGAGAACAACAATAATTAATAGCATGGCTACTTAGTTGACCCGATTTTGGTTTAAAAGAACAGCGTGTTTGATCATAGTAGGGCCAAGTCAAGTTCTAGAAACTGACCAAAATATATTGCTAAATACAATGCCTAGGAGTGTAGCATTTTGACGACCATCCAGTGTGATAATGGTTGAATGTAGCATTGTGGCGACCACCCAGTGTGATAATGCTTGAATGTAGTATTGTGGCGACCATCCAGTGTGATAATGGTTGAATGTAGCATTGTGGCGACCATCCAGTGTGATAATGGTTAAATGTAGCATTATGGCGACCATCTAGTGTGATAATGGTTGAATGTAGGATTGTGGTGACCATCCAGTGTGATAATGGTTAAATGTAGCATTGTGACGACCATCCAGTGTGATAATGATTGAATGTAGCATTGTGACGCCCATCCAGTGTGATAATGGTTGAATGTAGGATTGTGGTGACCATCCAGTGTGATAATGGTTGAATGTAGCATTATGGCGACCATCCAGTGTGATAATGGTTGAATGTAGGATTGTGGCGACCACCCAGTGTGATAATGGTTGAATGTAGCATTGTGGTGACCATCCAGTGTGATAATGGTTGAATGTAGCATTGTGGCGACCATCCAGTGTGATAATGGTTGAATGTAGGATTGTGGCGACCATCCAGTGTGATAATGGTTGAATGTAGCATTATGGCGACCATCTAGTGTGATAATGGTTGAATGTAGCATTGTGACGACCGTCTAGTGTGATAATGGTTGACTGTAGCATTGTGGCGACCATCCAGTGTGATAATGGTTGAATGTAGCATTGTGACGCCCATCCAGTGTGATAATGGTTGAATGTAGGATTGTGGTGACCATCCAGTGTGATAATGGTTGAATGTAGCATTATGGCGACTATCTAGTGTGATAATGGTTGAATGTAGCATTGTGGCGACCACCCAGTGTGATAATGGTTGAATGTAGCATTGTGGTGACCATCCAGTGTGATAATGGTTGAATGTAGCATTGTGGCGACCATCCAGTGTGATAATGGTTGAATGTAGCATTATGGCGACTATCTAGTGTGATAATGGTTGAATGTAGCATTGTGGCGACCACCCAGTGTGATAATGGTTGAATGTAGCATTGTGGTGACCATCCAGTGTGATAATGGTTGAATGTAGCATTGTGGCGACCATCCAGTGTGATAATGGTTGAATGTAGGATTGTGGCGACCATCCAGTGTGATAATGGTTGAATGTAGCATTGTGACGACCGCCCAGTTTGATAATGGTTGAATGTAGCATTGTGACGACCGTCTAGTGTGATAATGGTTGACTGTAGCATTGTGGCGACCATCCAGTGTGATAATGGTTGAATGTAGCATTGTGACGACCATCCAGTGTGATAATGGTTGAATGTAGCATTGTGACGACCGTCTAGTGTGATAATGGTTGAATGTAGCATTGTGGCGACCATTCAGTGTGATAATGGTTGAACATTGTGGCAACCAACCATCCTGAGTAGCATTTTGACTACCATCCATTATATAACCATTATATATGGATATCATCCAAAACTGGCTCCCATAGGAGATATCGCGTGAGTGTAGATAGCGCTGCAATGAAATTGCATCACAAGTTTACGTCATTAGTTATCACTGCTTATTACTGATTACAAACTGAAAAAGTTGGAAGAATGATGTTGGATGATAAATTAAATCTCACCACCTTCGTGTCTTTTGATATCAAATATATCCACACTCGTTGATAAAAGTAGACACTCGTTGATCAACTCGTGTTGATATATTCAATATCAAAAGACATTCGAGTGAGATGCTCTCTCTCTCTCTCTCTCTCTCTCTCTCTCTCTCTCTCTCTCTCTCTCTCTCTCGTTACATAGTCGAGACTAAGCTTGCCAAACCAGTGGTTGATAGTGTGAGCAAGTACATATGCTGTTGGATCCCTATGCCACAGATCCAGCCAGGTGACAGGCCCAGGCATCACTTTCGTCGGCTGTTTTTACAAGCATGGGGCCCCGCACGGGGACGGTATTTGTGAGGTGGGCAGCAGGTGCCTGCCTCTCCCTAATGCCATCATGGAGTCAAGCCGATCTGTAATGTCGTTATCTCCTCAAGCCGACCAGAAGCCGCGGCATAATCCTCCTGGATAGACCAACTTATTTAGTTGATTGTCACAGAACCTCGCGCACCATACACTAAGATCATGACCTCGCGCTCCCTTGTCAGCGCCACCCCCAGGGGTCATTAGCGCCACCCCCAGGGGTCATCAGAACTGCCCCTGCCTGCAGTCCAGTCATAGGGACAGTAGCTGTTGACGGTTGGCCATGGCTGCTGGACATGGTGGTGGTGACATTTGTCTGCCCCTGTGCTCGTGCTGATCTTTCTAATGAACTATTTTTAAACAATAATCTTAACTTGTTGTAAAAGGAAATTGTATTTGTTTTATTCACAAAACCCCAAACATTTTGCACTATGGTCGAAATACGATCGTCACTGTGAAAACAACAGTTACTATTGGTCTCCATGACGACCAGTGGGCCGTACAACCTGCCCGGGAACGTTTCTCTCATTCGTGACCAACTCGTGTTATTCCGGGACAAGCCGAATAGCGACTCGTGCCCCTCTCGTGGCCATTTTTGCGACCGGGTTCCGTCTTAGCGCAAACGGGCATAACTAAAACAATTGTCAATTCGCTGCGTAATGGTTCACATATATTTCCCCATATATTATATATATTTCAGATGCCTTTTAAAGCACATAGGGACGTGCGGAATTATACAGTATGATTGAACACATTTAACTGTGTCTTGGGTATATTTTTAGATGCAAGACATATGTAAAATCAAAAATTATTTCTGAGGGATTCTTTGACGAAGTACTTGAAATCATACGCGCATTCTGATTGGTTTGTCGTATTTTCGCATATAACATTCATCGATAGGGGGACGAGTCTTCTTGCAGGTTACGGAAAGGGGCGAGTGCTGACGAATGCGTTTCTCTGTCCAAGTAAATGATAATCAACCTGTGTTATGTGGATCGGGTTCTTCTCAGGCATCTAAAGACCCGTGAAGATCCGGGTCAGAATAAGTCTTCAGCAACCCATTCTTGCCGTATGACGCGACTCTGCTTGCCGAAGAGTCGACTAGGGTCCAGCGTTACTGGGGACGGTCAGTAATCCGGTTTGTGACGTCATTGCGGCCGTTCACTACTATGGCGGCAGCACCACCATTCGATTGATGATGTCGCATGAGTCGCTAAGTCCATTGGTGATGGTTAGAGACGCTATGTCCGATCACAAATTGACGTTGTGCTACAGTTTGTCTCTCTATAGGACAGTGTTGTAACGGAAGTAGAGTGACACAGGGCATGCTTGAAGTCGACAAGGGCAGAGAGTATTTATTTCACCAGACATATGGAATATCCTATTTATTATATACATTTTGTGTATTTGTTTAACGGAAATTCAATTATTTCATTATAAATGTAAAACCTTGAAATGTAAATTGTCCCTATCTGACACACAGTGACGGTTCACCATCCCTTTTATTTGCGACTTATAAAGTAGTTTCGTGTTTCCACTATCAAAGTATATTTTTTTTATTAAGGGTCACGACAATTTTTTATCATACATTTAGACATGATTATGCACACAATCAACTTTAGCCAAAAATATTATTGAAAACTACGAGACCGCTGTTGAAAGCGATTTCAGTTCACGTTAAGTCTAAAGCTGGCACATCAGTTACTTACTGCACTTACCTCTTGTTTTTCTTTGGGAAGTGAGATTAAGTCGCCTAGATTTGAAAAATACCAATCTCAGAATATAGTTTAATAATCTGAAGAGGTCGAGGATTTGGAGAGAGGATATGGATTTTAGAGAGAGGATATGGATTTAGAGAGAGGATATGGATTTAGAGAGGACATGGATTTAGAGAAAGGATATGGATTTAGAGAGAGGATATGGATTCAGAGACGACATGGATTTAAAGGATGAACATGTATCTAAATCCATGTTCTCTCTAATCCATGTTCTCCCTCTTAATCCTTATACACTCTCTAAATCAATGTGTGTCATTGTGGAAAAGGAGAGCGTTTAGCAGACAGATGTAAGAGCATGTGTGTCACTGGGTAACAGGAGGGGCTTTAGCAGACAGATGAAACAGCATGTGTGTCTGAGTGTTTGAAGGAGGGGTATTGCTTGCAGATATAAGAGCATGTGTGTCAGTGTGTACAGGGAGGGGATATAGCAGGCAGATCTAAGAGCATGTAAGAAGCTCATTCGTTTGTACAATGATTAGGTGTCAGGAATGTAGTACTATTTAATGTTAGCAGTGGTGAGGAAGTTATTATATTTAGATGCTAGAATTATCTGTAAACTTTCACAATAGCATGGATGGATGTCAAACGTTATAGAAACATGTGGAATATTCTGTGACACTGGTCTGGTCTGGTACTGAGAAGAAAGTGCAATGGATAGGTGAAAATTATTATAACTGAACTTGAACAACGACATCTTGCCAGCAGCATTGTCCCAGCAACATCTTGCCGTCAGCAATGTTCCAACGACATCTTACTGTCAGCAATGATCCCATGGGATCTTGATGGCAGCAAAGTTCCAGCGACATTTTGAAGGCAGCACATAAATAATCTAGGCTAGGCCAGTCATATCAGTGGAACGAGCGGTGACCTTTGCTGACACTGTGGCTTCCTATCTTCATTGTAGCGGGTCTCATGCATTGGTTGCCAGGGACTGACATGGAATCCCCTCGGGACTCACACTGCACTGATGTAATAGCTGCCCCCTGTGTGTGAAAGTCCTTAAACAGTCTTGGACGGCCTTTGACTCCACGGTTACACGTCAATGCCATACACCATGGTTAAACCTAGATCATCACTAGCCCTATGTTTTATAAGGTCAATGCCATACACCATGGTTAAACTTAGATCATCACTAGCCCTATGTTTTATAAGGTCAATGCCATACACCATGGTTAAACCTAGATCATCACTAGCCCTATGTTTTATAAGGTCAATGCCATACACCATGGTTAAACCTAGATCATCACTAGCCCTATGTTTTATAAGGTCAATCCCATACACCATGGTCAAACCTAGATCATCACTAGCCCTATGTTTTATAAGGTCAATCCCATACACCATGGTCAAACCTAGATCATCACTAGCCCTATGTTTTATAAGGTCAATGCCATACACCAGGGTCAAACCAAAATCGCCACAAGCCCCACGCTTTATAAGGGCAATGCCATACACCATGGTTAAACCTAGATCATCACTAGCTCTATGTTTTATAAGGTCAATGCCATACACCAGGGTCAAACCTAGGTCGCCACTAGCCCTATGTTTATAAGGTCAATGCCATACACCATGGTCAAACCTAGATCATCACTAACCCTATGTTTGATAAGGTCAGTGCCATACACCATGGTCAAACCTAGATCATCACTAGCCCTATGTTTTATAAGGTCAATCCCATACACCATGGTTAAACCTAGATCATCACTAGCCCTATGTTTTATAAGGTCAATCCCATACACCATGGTCAAACCTAGATCATCACTAGCCCTATGTTTTATAAGGTCAATCCCATACACCATGGTCAAACCTAGATCATCACTAGCCCTATGTTTTATAAGGTCAATGCCATACACCAGGGTCAAACCAAAATCGCCACAAGCCCCACGCTTTATACGGGCAATGCCATACACCATGGTTAAACCTAGATCATCACTAGCCCTATGTTTTATAAGGTCAATCCCATACACCATGGTCAAACCTAGATCATCACTAGCCCTATGTTTTATAAGGTCAATCCCATACACCATGGTCAAACCTAGATCATCACTAGCCCTATGTTTTATAAGGTCAATGCCATACACCAGGGTCAAACCAAAATCGCCACAAGCCCCACGCTTTATAAGGGCAATGCCATACACCATGGTTAAACCTAGATCATCACTAGCTCTATGTTTTATAAGGTCAATGCCATACACCAGGGTCAAACCTAGGTCGCCACTAGCCCTATGTTTATAAGGTCAATGCCATACACCATGGTCAAACCTAGATCATCACTAACCCTATGTTTGATAAGGTCAGTGCCATACACCATGGTCAAACCTAGATCATCACTAGCCCTATGTTTTATAAGGTCAATCCCATACACCATGGTTAAACCTAGATCATCACTAGCCCTATGTTTTATAAGGTCAATCCCATACACCATGGTCAAACCTAGATCATCACTAGCCCTATGTTTTATAAGGTCAATCCCATACACCATGGTCAAACCTAGATCATCACTAGCCCTATGTTTTATAAGGTCAATGCCATACACCAGGGTCAAACCAAAATCGCCACAAGCCCCACGCTTTATACGGGCAATGCCATACACCATGGTTAAACCTAGATCATCACTAGCCCTATGTTTTATAAGGTCAATCCCATACACCATGGTCAAACCTAGGTCGCCACTAGCCCTATGTTTTATAAGGTCAATGCCATACACCATGGTCAAACCTAGATCATCACTAGCCCTATGTTTGATAAGGTCAGTGCCATACACCATGGTCAAACCTAGATCATCACTAACCCTATGTTTGATAAGGTCAGTGCCATACACCATGGTCAAACCTAGATCATCACTAGCCCTATGTTTTATAAGGTCAATGCCATACACCATGGTCAAACCAAAATCGCCACAAGCCCCACGCTTTATAAGGTCAGTGCCATACACCATGGTCAAACCTAGATCATCACTAGCCCTATGTTTTATAAGGTCAATCCCATACACCATGGTTAAACCTGGATCATCACTAGCCCTATATTTGATAAGGTCAATGCCATACACCATGGTCAAACCTAGATCATCACTAGCCCTATGTTTGATAAGGTCAGTGCCATACACCATGGTCAAACTAAGATCATCACTAGCCCTATGTTTTATAAGGTCAATGCCATACACCATGGTTAAACCTAGATCATCACTAGCCCTATGTTTGATAAGGTCAGTGCCATACACCATGGTCAAACCTAGATCATCACTAGCCCTATGTTTTATAAGGTCAATGCCATACACCATGGTCAAACCAAAATCGCCACAAGCCCCACGCTTTATAAGGTCAATGCCATACACCATGGTTAAACCTAGATCATCACTAGCCCTATGTTTGATAAGGTCAGTGCCATACTCCATGGTCAAACCTAGATCATCACTAGCCCTATGTTTTATAAGGTCAATCCCATACACCATGGTTAAACCTGGATCATCACTAGCCCTATGTTTGATAAGGTCAGTGCCATACACCATGGTCAAACCTAGATCATCACTAGCCCTATGTTTTATAAGGTCAATGCCATACACCATGGTTAAACCTATATCATCACTACCCCTTTGTTTGATAAGGTCAATGCCATACACCATGGTCAAACCTAGATCATCACTACCCCTATGTTTTATAAGGTCAGTGCCATACACCATGGTCAAACCAAGGTCGCCACTGGCCCCACGCTTTATAAAGTCAGTGGTCACCATGAAGACAGAAAGCTTGTTTTCCTCCATTATCGTGTTGAATTTTGGAGACATTGTATTGTTCAAATGTTCTTGATCATGAAACGTTCATGGTATACAACATTGTATCCTAAATTAATTCTATTTCATTGAGACAAATTCTTCAATGACTGTAGTTATTGTTTCGACTAATGTTCTAAAATGCAAGTATTCTGGTTCGCCACGGTTAAATTTCTGGGTTTGTCAGCCCCATACCTGCGCTGGTGGGTTTCACCGAAGTGGTAAAGGTCTGAGACCTGCATCACTTCAGGCTTTCCTCCCACATTAAGCTGACACACCATGATATAAGTGGAATAATGTTCCAAGCGACATTAAACCAAACCCACTCACTCACTCACTATAATGCGAGAAAGTTAGAACGGCTTTGCAGCAGACTGTTTGGTTATCAATGTTTGAACTGAAGCACGACTTCGTCAAATATGACTTTGTGGACAAGATGAGAACTGACTACACACCCACGCCTTTGTACAAGTGACTCTCTTCCTGTTGCTGGCAACTCGAAACGACAACTTTCCCTCCATGATAAAGTTTGAAAACAACACAAGGAACTAAGATAAACAGCAGGTACTTTAATTTGTAAGTTTCAAATTGTGGATACACATCTTCCTCACGCTCAGTTGTTACTGAAAAGAATTCACAACAAAATGTCAGTAGGGCATTACTGCTACATACAATGATCATTACCGAAACAAGAACGGTTACAATGTGAAGGTCAATACAGTTGTAGCTGGGTATCGTTAGGTAGAAGAAATTGTAGTGTGAATGACTAGTTGACTGGATTTCAACTTCATTATTCTTTTGGTGTGTCACCATCGCTTCTTCGTTGATGCATTTGAGGTTGATCACTTACGATGGGTGGCCGCAGTGACGCTGGCTACAGTGGTCATCGAATACCTACGATGGGTGGCCGCAGTGACGCTGGCCATCAATACAGTGGACATTGAATACCTACGATAGGTGGCCACAGTGACGCTGGCCATCAATACAGTGAATATTGAATACCTACGATGGGTGGCCACAGTGACGCTTGCCATCAATACAGTGGACATTGAATACCTACGATAGGTGGCCACAGTGACGCTGGCGAATTAATACAGTGAATATTGAATACCTACGATGGGTGGCCGCAGTGACGCTGGCCATCAATACAGTGAACATTGAATACCTACGATGGGTGGCCACAGTGCCGCTTGCCATTAATACAGTGAATATTGAATACCTACGATAGGTGGCCACAGCGACGCTGGCCATCAATACATTGAATATTAAATACCTACGATGGGTGGCCACAGTGACGCTTGCCATTAATACAGTGACTATTGAATACCTACGATAGGTGGCCACATTGACGCTTGCCATCAATACAGTGAATATTGAATACCTACGATGGGTGGCCACAGTGACGCTTGCCATTAATACAGTGAATATTGAATACCTACGATAGGTGGCCACAGTGACGCTTGCCATCAATACAGTGAATATTGAATACCTACGATAGGTGGCCACTGTGACGCTGGCCATCAATACAGTGGACATTGAATACCTACGATGGGTGGCCACAGTGACGCTTCCCATTAATACAGTGAATATTGAATACCTACGATGGGTGGCCACAGTGACGCTGGCCATGAATACAGTGAATACTGAATACCTACGATGGGTGGCCACAGTGACGCTGGCCATTAATACAGTGAATAATGAATACCTACGATGGGTGGCCACAGTGACGCTGGCCATCAATACAGTGGAAGTTGAATACCTACGATAGGTGGCCACAGTGACGCTTGCCATTAATACAGTGGACGTTGAATACCTACGATAGGTGGCCACAGTGACGCTCGCCATCAATACAGTGGACGTTGAATACCTACGATGGGTGGCCGCAGTAACGCTGGCCATTAATACAGTGAATAATGAATACCTACGATGGGTGGCCACAGTGACGCTGGCCATCAATACAGTGGAAGTTGAATACCTACGATAGGTGGCCACAGTGACGCTTGCCATTAATACAGTGGACGTTGAATACCTACGATAGGTGGCCACAGTGACGCTCGCCATTAATACAGTGGACATTGAATACCTTCGATGGGTGGCCGCAGTGACGCTGGCCATCAATACAGTGGACATTGAATACCTACGATGGGTGGCCACAGTGACACTGGCGAATTAATACAGTGAATATTGAATACCTACGATGGGTGGCCACAGTGACGCTGGCCATCAATACAGTGGACGTTGAATACCTACGATGGGTGGCCGCAGTGACGCTGGCCGTCAATACAGTGGATATTGAATACCTACGATGGGTGGCCACAGTGAAGCTGGCTAATTAATACAGTGAATATTGAATACCTACGATGGGTGGCCACAGTGACGGTGGCCATCAATACAGTGGACGTTGAATACCTACGATGGGTGGCCGCAGTGACGCTGCCCGTCAATACAGTGGACGTTAAATACCTACGATAGGTGGCCAAAGTGACGCTGGCCATCAATACAGTGGACATTGAATACCTACGATAGGTGGCCACAGTGACGCTGGCCATCAATACAGTGGATATTGAATACCTACGATGGGTGGCCACAGTGACGCTGGCCATCAATACAGTGGACGTTGAATACCTACGATGGGTGGCCACAGTGACGCTGGCCATCAATACAGTGGACGTTGAATACCTACGATAGGTGGCCACAGTGACGCTGGCCATCAATACAGTGAATATTGAATACCAACGATGGGTGGCAAAAGTGACGCTTGCCATCAATACAGTAGACGTTGAATACCTACGATGGGTGGCCGCAGTGACGCTTGCCATCAATACAGTGGACGTTAAATACCTACGATAGGTGGCCAAAGTGACGCTGGCCATTAATACAGTGGACATTGAATACCTACGATAGGTGGCCACAGTGACGCTGGCCATCAATACAGTGGACGTTGAATACCTACGATAGGTGGCCACAGTGACGCTTGCCATCAATACAGTGGACATTGAATACCTACGATGGGTGGCAGCAGTGACGCTGGCCATAAATACAGTGGATATTGAATAACTACGATAGGTGGCCACAGTGACGCTTCCCATTCATACAGTGGACATTGAATACCTACGATGGGTGGCAGCAGTGACGCTGGCCATAAATACAGTGGACATTGAATACCTACGATGGGTGGCCACAGTGACCCTGGCGAATTAATACAGTGAATATTGAATACCTACGATGGGTGGCCACAGTGACGCTGGCCATCAATACAGTGGACATTGAATACCTACGATGGGTGGCCACAGTGACGCTTGCCATCAATACAGTGGACGTTAAATACCTACGATAGGTGGCCACAGTGACGCTTGTCATCAATACAGTGGACGTTGAATACCTACGATAGGTGGCCACAGTGACGCTGGCCATCAATACAGTGGACGTTGAATACCTACGATGGGTGGCCACAGTGACGCTGGCGAATTAATACAGTGGATATTGAATACCTACGATAGGTGGCCACAGTGACGCTTGCGAATTAATACAGTGAATATTGAATACCTACGATGGGTGGCCACAGTGACGCTGGCCATCAATACAGTGGACGTTGAATACCTACGATAGGTGGCAGCAGTGACGCTGGCCATAAATACAGTGGACATCGAATACCTACGATGGGTGGCCACAGTGACGCTGGCGAATTAATACAGTGAATATTGAATACCTACGATAGGTGGCCACAGTGACGCTGGCCATCAATACAGTGGACATTGAATACCTACGATGGGTGGCCACAGTGACGCTTGTCATCAATACAGTGGACGTTGAATACCTACGATGGGTGGCCACAGTGACGCTGGCGAATTAATACAGTGGATATTGAATACCTACGATAGGTGGCCACAGTGACGCTTGCCATTAATACAGTGGACATTGAATACCTACGATGGGTGGCCGCAGTGACGCTGGCGAATTAATACAGTGGATATTGAATACCTACGATGGGTGGCCACAGTGACGCTTGCCATTAATACAGTGGACAATGAATACCTACGATGGGTTGCCGCAGTGACGCTGGCCATCAATACAGTGGACATTGAATATCTACGATAGGTGGCCACAGTGACGCTGACCGTCAATACAGTGGATATTGAATACCTACGATAGGTGGCCACATTGACGCTTGCCATCAATACAGTGGACATTGAATACCCACGATGGGTGGCCACAGTGACGCTGGCCATCAATACAGTGGATATTGAATACCTACGATGGGTGGCCACAGTGACGCTTGCCATCAATACAGTGGACCTTGAATACCCACGATGGGTGGCCACAGTGACGCTGGCTACCAATACAGTGTAGGTTGTGTACTTATGAAGGGTAGCCGCAGTGACACTGGCCGTCAATACAGTGATGGTTGTATACTTACGGTGGGTAGCCACAGTGACACTGGCCGTCAATGCAGTGATGGTTGTATACTTGCGATGGGTAGCCACATTGACACTGGCCGTCAATACGGTGCAGTTTGTATACTTACGGTGGGTAGTGACAGTGGCCGTCAATACGGTGCAGTTTGTATACTTACGGTGGGTAGCCACAGTGACACTGGCCGTCAATACAGTGATGGTTGTATACTTACGGTGGGTAGCCACATTGACACTGGCCGTCAATACGGTGCAGTTTGTATACTTACGGTGGGTAGCCACAGTGACACTGGCCGTCAATACAGTGATGGTTGTATACTTACGATGGGTAGCCACAGTGACACTGGCCGTCAATACAGTATTGGTTGTATACTTACGGTGGGTAGCCACAGTGACACTGGCCGTCAATACGGTGCAGTTTGTATGCTAAAGGTGGGCAGCCACAGTGACACTGTCCGCCAATACAGTGATGGTTGTATACTTACGATGGGTAGCCACAGTGACACTGGCCGTCAATACAGTGATGGTTGTGTACTTACGATGGGTAGCCACAGTGACACTGGCCGTCAATACAGTGATGGTTGTATACTTACGATGGGTAGCCACAGTGACACTGGCCGTTAATACAGTGATGGTTGTATACTTGCGATGGGTAGCCACAGTGACACTGGCCGTTAATACAGTGATGGTTGTATACTTGCGATGGGTAGCCATAGTGACACTGGCCGTCAATACGGTGCAGTTTGTATACTTACGGTGGGTAGCCACAGTGACACTGGCCGTCAATACGGTGCAGTTTGTATACTTACGGTGGGTAGCCACAGGGAGACTGGCCGTCAATACTGTGTAGGTTGTATACTTACGGTGGGTAGCCACAGGGACACTGGCCGTCAATACTGTGTAGGTTGTATACTTACGGTGGGTAGCCACAGTGACACTGACCGTTAATACTGTGTAGGTTGTATACTTACGGTGGGTAGCCATAGTGACACTGGCCGTCAATACAGTGTAGGTTGTATACTTACGGTGGGTAGCCACAGTGACACTGGCCGTCAATACAGTGTAGGTTGTATACTTACGGTGGGTAGCCATAGTGACACTGGCCGTCAATACAGTTGAGGTTGTATACCTACGGTGGTTAGCCACAGTGACACTGGCCGTCAATACTGTGTAGGTTGTATACTTACGCTGGGTAGCCACAGAGACACTGGCCGTCAATACTGTGCAGTTTGTATACTTACGGTGGGTAGTGACAGTGGCCGTCAATACGGTGCAGTTTGTATACTTACGGTGGGTAGTGACAGTGGCCGTCAAAACGGTGCAGTTTGTATACTTACGCTGGGTAGCCACAGAGACACTGGCCGTCAGTACAGTGCAGTTTGTATACTTACGGTGGGTAGTGACAGTGGCCGTCAAAACCGTGCAGTTTGTATACTTACGATGGGTAGCCACAGTGACACTGGCCGTCAATACAGTGCAGTTTGTATACTTACGGTGGGTAGTGACAGTGGCCGTCAAAACGGTGCAGTTTGTATACTTACGCTGGGTAGCCACAGAGACACTGGCCGTCAATACTGTGTAGGTTGTATACTTACGGTGGGTAGCCACAGAGACACTGACCGTCAATACGGTGCAGTTTGTATACTTACGGTGGGTAGCCACAGTGACACTGGCCGTCAATACAGTAAGTTTGTATACTTACGGTGGGTAGCCACAGTGACACTGGCCGTCAATACAGTGCAGTTTGTATACTTACGGTGGGTAGCCACAGTGACACTGACCGTCAATACGGTGCAGTTTGTATACTTACGATGGGTAGCCACAATGACACTGGCCGTCAATACAGTAAGTTTGTATACTTACGGTGGGTAGCCACAGTGACAAAATCCGTCAATACAGTGGAGGTCGGAGACAGGCTGGCACGTGCAGTCTATCTGGCCATTGTTGTAAGCGTCAAAGCATTCATTCTGGTTTCTGCATCTGGCTGTGGATGTGGTGTCGGGTATTATTATGTAAGAAAGATTTACACAGTTATATCCACAATCATGTGGAAGGCACACAATAATACAAACACCAATCTGATAGGTATATGCACATGTTAACTTTAACGTGTGATAAATGGTTAACTCCCTTTGATAGAAATTATGAACTGCATTTAGTAAATCAATAATTGTCAGAAACCCTGGTAATATCGCCAGTGCCACGCAATGTTTCACACATACTTTTTCGAGACAATTTCAAACATGTTTAATATCAAACTTCAAATTATGGTCACTATTCCAAGAGGTATGACACCCGGCCTACCTAGGTTAGGTTCCGGAGCACACAGAACGACGCACGTGCAGGTTCCCGCCTCACATGCGAGAGATCCACCAGAGTTACACTGAGTGATGGAGCAGTCACGGACATCGTTACACGCCTCTCCCTGCACGGAGACCACTACAACACAAATATCACAACTGGGTTTTGCAGAGTAAAAGTTACAGGAAGGCAAATGGCGTTTGTAGAGAGGTCGTCAGTGAACAACCAACGAGAAATAATTATGTCCAGAGTGAATAGCTAACTTCTTTAAATCATTCCTGAGTAGGGGCAGATAATTTGCTATTCCGAGTTTCACATAAACTGGTACCTATTGTCACCTTAAGAAAGAAACAAGTGTGAAATGTCTCACCTTCGAAGACACCTAACTGACGTCGCTTCGTTTAGATGTCATGATCAATTGATGACGTACTAACGTAGCAAAGTGAAGTGTTATTGGTTCACCTAACCAATCTGCTCCTTAACACTGGTCACGGTCACGTGTGTACAAACGTCTTTCATTGGACATGTTCACGTGTTACTGTAGATCGCCCAGCCTTTGAGGACCTTTAACTCACCCTTTTGATCTTCGCAGAAACTTCTAGAAACACACAATATGGACTCCGCGTTATCTGGAGGCTGTAACTAGATTAAGGTGTGATAGGTAGACCTGACGTTATTACAACCTTAAGCCATGAAACTGTGTCTACAAAAACATATGAAGCACTTTCAAGGGCAGTTAAAGCAATGTATTCAGCTGAGCATCTAATATCTAGATTTAGAAATATACCTGTTAAATCGCTGTTCAGGGTAATTGATGATAATATACTGCCAGTACTGATGTACAGCTCGGAACCTTATATCGCCCCAGTATTGAGAAAATCTTTACACAAATTTGTAAATTTGCATTTGGCGTCAGCTACCGGTCACCAAATAAGGCAATTTCAGCAGAATGCTGAAGGTACCCAATATTTGAAAACTATCAATGCAGAGTTATCTCATACTGGATACGTTTGCTCAGACAACCAGCTACACGCTACTCTAGACGATGCTAGTACATGCTTAAACACCTTGAAAACTTGGGAGATATGAATTGGGCTTCTTTTATCTCATGGATTTGCGCATGCGTGAACATCCCAGGATGTTGAAAAAAAAATCATGTTCTTAAAAATGTTAAACAACGATGTAAAGACATGTGTTGTCAAAACTGACCAGGTGATATCAGATGTTCACAATCGCTACATGCTTATTCCATGTTTACGACGGACGTAATACCATAAACATATTTAACAACATTTCGATCTGTATGTTTATGGAGCACGAAGTCCAGGTGTGGTATACATACCCTCCATATACAGTTATACAGACGTCCCAAAGATAAGGATGTTTTAACATCGGTGTGTCCCTACTGCAAATATTACCAAGCGGATTAATACCACGTGTTATAAATACATGTAAGTGCAGAATATGAAGACATAAGATTTCAAATACCCACCTAACTATCAGTAACTTCAGTTAATGAACAAACAAAATGGCCACATTCTTCTCAGTTTTTGTTAATAAGGTATTTGAACGAAAGATGATACATTGAATAAATAAAAAACTCAAATGTGTAAATCTGTTCAGATCCAAAATACAAATGGTGCCCCATGACGAATTTTCCTACAACAAAATGTCATTGTACTATTGACCTCATGGCCACATATATGATATAAATCTGTCTGTCTGTCTGTCCATCTGTCCGCATGTTTCACTTCCATGAGGTCGTACACACCACGACTGACCTATTGTCCTGATTCTGTGCTTCTGCACAATGACAATGTATGTAAATTTGCCCTAATGATTACCCCCATGTGTAGTGTAATAAAGTATAGTTTTGACCTGAACTATCATAGTTAAAGCACGGGGACTTTGACGTCATAAACTATACTTTATTACACTACACATTGGTACAGAGCAAACTTAATTATTTTTATTATTTTAAGATTACCCTCATGTTGTAATGGAGCTGGGATAAATATCAAATATGTAATGACGTTCATTGAACATCCTCGAACAGGGCCAACTGACGGGCTCTTCTACCTAATTGCCTGCACCCTTATGTTAAGGGAAATATTTACAACAGCACTAAACTGGATAGTTTGTTGTTTGAATACGTCATTATCCATTCAGTGTGCGGTTAGCCATGATTCCATGCAGCATTAAGTAGGATTTATAAATATATGTTATAATAATTTGACTCGAAACATTCCACAGCTGCATTGTGGGGCCGAGCCAAGAAATGTAAACAAAACCGAAATTCGGTGCCGCTGTATACTGTGACTTTAGATGTTGTCTGTCGTACAAGTTGCAACTTGGTTTCCACCACTAATGTTACAAAACTGCAGCAACTGCAAGCCTTGCAATACTGTGCTCACCGAGTTGGTGGCGCTCCATGATACCCGACGTGAATCGACGGCCTGAGGCGTAATATGGCGGCGTCGCGGAGCGAACATGGTGGAGGATGAGCAATATGGCGGTCGTTCTGTTTGACTGCAGTAAGTTGCTTAATGCCGTACGCTGAGCAACTGGTGTACATGTGGTTATGAAACCTGTTAAAGATTGCCCATTCCTTTGGGGTAGACTGCAATTGTTCCAATCCTTCTTCCAGAGACAAATATAATTCGGAGATACCAGCGCCCGCCATTTGTGACACGGACACAAAGGTTTGAATATGTTTGTGATGAGCCTACGGCGCGGCTTCAGAGAAGATGGACATCATCTGGCCTTATTTCTTCCAACATTATAATAGTTGGAGTGAGTGATTAAGGTTCAACTCCGCTTTCACTTGTATCGTGTATGCTAACTTCAACTGGGAGGAAAGCTCTAATGCTGCACGTCTTTGACGGTTGCCACTATGGTGAGGCCCCGAGCACGGAATGGCGCTGAGAAACCGAGAAATGCAATTAAGACGAACCTGGATTCGAACACATAAGGGACACAACTATGCACGGTGAATCAGAAACGGTCTAAGAGGTTTCTATCCTCATGTGTGTGTATACCTACCAATTACAGCCAGAAGTCCCAGGACACACACAGTCTTCATGATGTTAACCTCTCTAAATCTGAGCGCATGCCAACTTCTCACAAACTTTTATATGTTAAAGCTTATCTAAGTATTTGAATACAAGCAAATATATTTCAGTGGAAAATCATGTCATGATAAAAGTGTGCTGCACGATTGTTTGATAACACATGTTTTCGTGATCATGCAAAGGAGCGGTTGAGAGGTATACAGAAATTATACTGTTGAAGTAAAGGGAGTATTCTGTGGACAGGACGATCAAGTGATCGATATAATGAGCAACGATCCACGCCTTTGGGATGTGACGACACGTAATATACAACCAGCATACATTGCTGGAGACCTTCTGTAAAAAGAATCACTATGGGGTTCATATGTTTTGAAATCTTGAAATCTCTTATAGCACTTTCGTGTGACCCTCATAACCCCTGCAGGGGTTGAAGCGATAGGTTCAGGTGAGAAGAGGAACGATCAACTACATCCAGAAGAGGATCGTCGATCCAATACCAAACATAACATACCCAAAGCAGAGGTGTGCAGAAGAGATGATCCGTCACACTAGTAACCATCAGCTCCACATGACGACTTCGTCATAAACACTAAACAGACGAATGAGAATATGCTCCAGTCAGATACTGAGTCTGGGAAATCTCAATCAAAAACAATTTCAATATTTATTGTAACAAGAGAAAACCATGACTACACAGAACAAGATCATGTACACTTCAACTCTATCTGTGAAGATGTTTCCAGAGACCTGTTTTGCGAACACCAAAGGTCCAGACATTTGTTTCAGACCTTGGACGTCAGTCACAGTAATGTCTCGGAGATGGTATCCATCCTAAGTGTTCACCCAAACTACAATGACTGTGTAAAGCCATAGCAGAGGCAACATGGCGCGTTTGGAGCAAGGAAAGCAAGGAGGAGCAAAGGTGTAAGCTCCGAGAATTACCGACGGAATCCAAAACGATATCGTGACACAAAGCAGAATAAAAAGCCTCTTCCGGTAAAATCCGGAGAGTGTGTACTGGACACAACAATATGTCTTTGGTATCCTCAGAATTCAAAATAGATTCAAAGGTGGAATAGAAAATAACTGATCTGGGTGTTTGGGATGTTGATTTTTGGAAAGTTGATTTTTGCAAAGTACGCCAGAGCCAAGAGGAAGATGTTTTCAATGTAATACACTCAAACTCTTTCTCAGCAAGTTGTTCATAATCAGCCTAAGTGAGATGACAAAGTATGACGGGTCTGCCAACTTGAATGACTGAATCAAGGATTGTAGTTCCGCCATTTGCGCCTGTAGTAGTCGTGACGATGGAATTAATCACAGCCAAGTATGTAGCTAAGGTACGGCCGGAGATGGTGAAGACATTCAGGAATCTGTTGCTGAGAAGCAGTAGCGGGTGTACTAAAGTACTCATGGAAATGAAAAAAACCTGTTTTGCTGGGTTTAATAGTCGACACAAAGCTTTACGTAGATGTAAATACGAAATAACAAAACAACTGGAAAAGTACTAGTCTGGATTTGCTAGTTTTATCTCAGTGCTCAATACAAAATGTACTTTACAGGAGGTAATTTGTAGGCACTTTCAACATTCAAAAATAAAAGTCCAAATTGACATGGCAGAAACAGGCTATAGGCATTATGCAAATTAGCCTGGAAAAAAGTTATCAAAACAACAATAAAAATAACAGCTATGTATATGTACATAATAATAATGACATGTAAGTTGTTGTTTGAGAAGGGAATATGTTACTTTTACGTTCTGATATTTTGACGATGATTCACTATCCCACAATGCCACTCACAAATCACTAACCACTTACAAATCACATGCGCTTGGGTTTCAAGCACCTGTTTTCACTAGTCGTCAAGGTGTCATAGGTCATGGACATTCACCTTGATCTACTAACACCTGGTTATGCTCACACACTTTTACGTGTAAAAAGACATAAAAACCTTTGAGACGCTGTATTTGTGCCAAGGCCCAATTAGTACTAATTGAGTTGTTTGAATATTTATATATTTTGTATATTAACTGCATTTATTTAAAATCTGAGATCGAAAAAACTGTTTTTTTTTATTTCCGTGAGTACTTTAATACAATGCGCGTGACAGTAGCCCTCAAAAGCCTTCCACTTATTGTCGTATAAGGAATTGGATGACGAGCGGTGGGCCTCAGATATTGATTTGGCTACCTGTCTGGAGTAACCAATCACAACATGGGATTTCTGTAAATGCACCAAACGCATATATTGATGATGTCGAGTGACGGAGGATGGAGCAACTGGGAGTGAGGTTGAAGGAGTAGTCGACCCTTAGAGGCAGACGATAAAACCTTCTATCAGCAAGTTGGATGAGCGTGGTGAACCAACTCCGAGCCGGCCAATAATGCTCGACCAAAAGCAGTGTGAAATGACTGGTGGACTATATTTCCTGCAATGCCCAAGGTAGAACATCGGTTGGGTGAAAAGCATAAACATGTAGGCACCACGATATTGCTGATGTTTCGTGGTCCGAAGCCTGAGGGACGGGAATTGGAAATACGAACCAGGATAGCTGAGTGTTGAAGCAGGTTGCGAAGAGATCGACGTCAGGGCACAGAAATAACTGCTAAATCCACTTGAAAATCGGACGTGAACGCCATTCCATGGGAGAGGATTTATCGGGTCAAGACAGGGAATCTACTATGACGTTGCGGACGCCAGGGATGTGTCCCACTCGAACCTGAATATTAAGTGAGTCGATCAGTTGAAAGAAGTTGAACACCAGAGACAGTAGAGACATCGACTTGGTTGACTTGGTGGAGTGCATCTTGCATCATAAAAAAATATAAGCAAAAGTAACAAAAGATATTTAGGGTCGCGAAAGTTCTGTATTATACATGTATATATGATTATATACAAAATCAACTTTAACAAAAACAAGTCTTGAAAACGTTGAGACGGCTGTTGGAAGCGAATGAATACACACTGGTCAAGTAACAAAAATGGGGCTTTGCGAACGAACGGTCTCGACTGACGAGTTAAGTGAGAAATTTACAGTTTATAACGGAACATTTTCAAGAAAAAAACAAACGCCAAGAAGGCGATATTAACTCCATAAATGACCACCCGTCATGATTTTGCCTTGTCAAAGTGGAACTAAGGTAAAAAGGAAGTCAACAGTTTGTGAACGGGATAGGTGAGGTGAGGTGAAATGGGGTTTAACGTCGCGTCCAAGATTATTGCACTTATATAGCGACATGCATGTACGTGTGTGTGTGTGTGTGTGGCTGCTGGTACTAGTCCGGGCTGATTTATAGTGCTAGCTCACTCTCCTCACCTCACCTCTTCCACCCTCGGCGGAATACATTTGTTGCATACTTTTTACAAGGTCCAAGAATACCATGAAAAATAAAAAATGACCTGAGCAAATTCAACAATCTCTAAAATTGCCTGCCCACATTACGCATTCTAATATTTCAGTACAACATATATATTTAATTAATCGGTATGAAAGTATTTTTGTTAGTTATGTCTTTACTGGACCGTTGGCTGTCCTGGTCTGTTACAATCAAATTTGTTAATAACCCCAATGGCCAAAAATATCCACAACACAATAATACATTATGAGAGTTTAAAAGGTACGTCAATAATTTGTGTTGAAATCGGTCATTATTGAATTAGTTTAATACATTTTTCAACTGTAAGTATATTATACACAGGGATATTACACGGCATGTGGTTATGGAAAGCCAGGTGTAGTTACATAGCATCAATGGAAGGATGATGCAGTCAGGGGAGGCGTTACCTGTATGTGAACAATGGCACCTGTACATTTGAATGTATCATCCAACACAGCCCTGCAATGACATCAATATATATATTTTAATTTGTATATAAGATCACATTTCCTTTTTCACTGCGGTGTGGAAATGATAATCTATTTTTTTCCACGTTTTTTTAAAGAAACTTATATTGCCTAAATCAATTGAAATACTCGGTGTTATTTTGATCGAAGAACCCATATTCCGACGCGCATTCTGATTGGCTTGCGCCGTTTCGACGCATACTGGCCTTCGAGAAGGGAACGAGCCTTGTTGTAGGTTACGGAAACATGCGAGTGGTGACGAATGGTGCCAATCTATGCACAGAGCATATCGGGAGATTGTGCCACAGAGCCCCCGACAATCGGAGCACATATACAGATCAGACGGTGAAAACAGGTCAAACAGACGGCACAACAACACACTTATTGTTCATCAATGATGCAATCTGGAACCTATCTGTGAGCACGTCACCACAGCGTGGCGATAAGAGAGAGAGAGAGAGAGCAGGCTGGGGAAATCACGTGTTAAGCACGTGTAGGTTAACCGACATACACCGTATGCGTGATCCAGGTGGTTGGGAGGTGATATTGTTGATTCCAGGTGTGTTCGGATGAATTGTGTTTTCAGAAGCTGGAAACTTTTGTTAAAGCACGTTTTCCAATGAGGATGAAAAAAAAGAAAGAGATAGGATAGGTTTAAAACTTTGAGTTCTTCGTCGACTGATAGGAACGTAACATCATCATTTTAAAAAAAGTCTGGAAGAGAAGCAGTTCGTGCATTGCAGTCCCCTTGAAGTATTATTTTACAGCCTGGATATTTAGGTGAAAAATAAACAACACCAAGAATGATATTAAATTTGAGACCACATCACTTTACATTAATGATAGGCTTTACTTAGAAGTTGATAGGTGACAAAGTGGACACAAATTATGGATAACAACTTCTTTATTCACTGTAAAGGCGACGTTATAACGATCTATACCGAAACGTCGCCTTGACAGTAAATATAGAAGTTGTTAATCACGCTAGATGTACAACTAGTCATTATGGATATGTATACAGAATACTACACTCATTCTCGTCAGATACCATAGAAAGTTCCCGAGTTTCGTAAAAATGGTATGTAACGAGAATGAGTGTGGTATTTTATTTATTACCCACGTTAAATTTATATTAGAGTGTAAAAACATAACAACTTTCGTTCGTTGACAGACTAAACTGAAACCGGTTGCAAAATCTGGTTGCGCATGAATATTGATGTAAGCCCAAATATGGGTTGTGTTTGCAAACATAACA